GAACCGAACGTGTGCCAGTGATGAAAACCCAATTTTCCCCGCAAAAGCCACATCGACACTGTTAAAAAACCCTCGAGACCCCCTCAAATCGCCGCAATGTTCGCTCGAAGACTCCGGGTTTTCCTGAAAATTGGCGATAAAAAAACCTTCCTAAGATCTTCACGTGACTATGTGGAACCTAACCTCAAATTCTCGACGATCCCCCCTTCTAAGCCCCTGCAGTTCCCTTCGGGTAGGACCCTGAAGAGGTCCATCTTCTCCACCGAGAAGATCGAGGGCTACTCGAACCTCTCGCAGACGTCAGACCAGCCGGAGAACGCCGACGATGAGGACCCCAGTGAGCACCACCCCATCCACGGGAGCTACAGGAATACCGAGAATCGTCTAGCCTATTCGGTCCTCCGGAACAACCCCCGTTACAAGAAGACGATAGTCCCTCCAATAATCCCAGATGAGAAGTTCCCCGAGGAGACCATCGAGAATATCCTGCGGAAGCAGTGGGCGGCTACCTCAGACGTCTCAGAAGTCATCGAGAACTTCAGGATTCTCTCGTACGACGCCAGATCCAACAACAAAAAATTTACGGATGAACACATAGCAATCCTGGAGAAGCTGACGTCGATCGTGAAGGAACTGCTGACGGACCAGGTAGAGTTTGGCATTGTTATTATTTTTTAGGGGCGGGTGGGGTAAAATGGACACTTTTGACGTTTTTAAAAATATTCATAACTCAGAAACGGATTTATCAATTGAGCTCAGTTTAAGCTCATCACAAAGAGGAATCATTGCTCTTTCAATTGAAAAATAAAATTATTCCATTTCATGAACAATTCAACACTCAGAACATTCAGTGTTGAGAAGAAATTATTCTTTTCATCATAAATGAATTAATTTCATTTCAATCATCACAATTTAATTTTTTTCACAAAATCATTATTAAGATAATGAAAAATGAATAGCAGATATTATTCATTTGCCCGTCTCTGGCCAGATGTGGCTGCTCTTGAGGTACGTGGAGATGTGGTACCCGATGCCCCTTAAGACGAAGCTGAGGGCACTGACAACCCTGGAAGACGCCCTGGACGAGGAGTGCTGGAAGAGAAGTCTCGAGTGGGACGCCAACGATCTCCTGATGACCTGCGACCTCTTCTACCACTTGAGAAGATTGGGGCAGTCGAAATTCACTGGCTACGCCATGAAGAAACTGGGATCCAAGCCCTCGAAAATGTCCTCCGATAACTACCCCCATTACATGTATCTTCTCAATGCTGGGAGGAAACCGCACATCAATATGTACGAGCTTGAGTACCGGCTCGAGGCCATTGTGGAGGAGTTCAACCCTGAGGAGCTCGCCATCATCGCCATGGGGTTCTTCAAGACGGCGACTCTCATCAGGAATCCAGCGCTTTCGGGACATATCATTCAGAAGTGTATTGATAACATGGCAACTCTCGATGAGATTTACATTTCTGCTATTATGAAAATGGCTAGGTAATTATTCGGGACACATCGAAATGTTCTCCATGCATTTTCATATTCTACTTCACTCGAAGAATTTCTACAATAATTCGTGGAAAATTGAATTTATTCTGAAGGCGAATTTGAAAATTAAAAATATTTTCACATCATCTTTTCTCATTTCTGTTTATTTTGCATGAAATAATTTTCATCAAACAATGAATTTTTAATGATGAAATTCCTTGTAAATTTTCGTGAAAACATCGACATTAATCATGATTTCTATTATTTCCCATTACTGGATTGCTTTTTGCTAAATCTTCACATGGAAAAATGAAAAAGTTTTGTACCATCTCCATTATTTTTATTTTTCAGACTCAGTGTACATCTGAGGGACCGAGAAATATTGAGAGGTCTCTTACGTCGTTTTAAAATTCGAATCAACACGATTTCAACAGCGTGTCTTGTCCACACTGCGCACACTGGTTCCGCCACCCTAGTCTACGAGAAAGAAGTCATGGATTTAATCATGAATGAGTGAGAAAGTTTCATTCATTCATTGCAGAGATAATAATTCGATGAATTAACTTATAATCAATTATTCCCCAACAGATTAGTGAAAAGAGGTCTCTCCGATGCGAGACTGAAAGACATCGAGAGAATCCTCTTCAGCCTGATGATATTCAATTACCCCAAAGATTTTCCCCTCTACGAAATGGCCGTCGAAGAATTGAGGAATCCTGTCCGCACGACTGAACGCAAGAAATTCGCTATTACGTACGCCTGTTCCCTGATGTACCTCTCCCTTGCGGACATTTATCCCCTGGATATCATAAATAGCATCATGAATCCTGAATATCTAAAGGAAGTTTATCGAAATAATGCATTCAAAATTGGGCGGGAGTATCTGACTCTCGAGTGTGGGCTCAAATTGGAAGTGCCTGAGTATGAAGGACCATTTTTACCCGAGAGAATTTACAATTATTTGGCCAAGGTATGATTTTTTGGAAAACTAATTAAATTATTCAATGAGTTTCAACATAACTCCAATAGAATTTTACAGTTTCAACAGAAATTCTCATATTTTCGTCTTCATGAAATGAAATGAGAACTTGAACAGAAATTTTGGGACTATTATCCTGTTTCCCTCAGCATAACGATAATTTCCTTGCAGAGATATGCATCTGGTGTTGTCTGGAGAGACGATCCTTTGACACAGACCCAAACGTATCACAAATTCTTGTTTGAAGTAGTGCATTATCTGAAGGCCATTGTGGGTGAGAATAATTATTTCATCGACCAAGTCCTCCCCCAGTACCAGAGAGGCGACATAATCCTCTGCATGGACTCCCAGAATAACTTCATATCACCTGAGGAAATGCTGCTGAAGTGCCCCCAATTCAGGCTGAAATTCACTCCAGAGCGCACGAAGAATTACAAATGGTTTGCGGTGGTTCTAGCGTCTCACAATCATATGTTCAGGGAGAGTACGTTACTGAGTGGTACCTCCAACGCCAAATTGAGGCACTTGACGAGGGCTGGATACACCCCAATAACGGTAAATCATTCTTACACGACATTTGTCAATTTATTATTGTCAACCACCAGCTCAAACATCAATTACAATTATTTTAGATCATGTTGTCAACGTGGACGAAGTTCAAGGAGGCCGAACGACAAGAATTCCTCCGAGATGTATTAACAGAGCACATTAACAATAAAGAACATACTTCGTCTTAAATGTTAAATGTTTGTACAAATCTTCATGAGTTGCATAAAACTATTTTATTGTATACACTGATGAAATACGAAAATTGGATGAAAAATTATAAATTCTTTTTTTTATTCTGAAGAATGGAATTGTTGCTGTTGAAAACACCTGCATCATGATTTTTCAGTCATGAATGGAATATGAAACTAAAAGAAAAATACATACTGATGAAAAAATGTCATGCACATCAATTGCTGCCAAAGTATGCATCTCACTGCATTGGATTGTTCATGAGTGAGATCAGAGCCTGAGGAATTAATCTTCGTCTCTTCCTGGAAGAGATGTTTTCATCGACGAGATGAGCCTGCACTCAGTCGATTTCACGTAGCAGAATTCAAACTAATTATTCAATCGGGTCAGACACCCAGGAGTGACTGCAAGTGCTTCCTCGAGTACTCGTATGTCACGAAGAGGGTGGCAGTGGCTGGTATCGTCCTTATGAGAGTTGGCTTCAATCCATTGTAGAGAGCACCTGCTCCCTCTTTTCTCACGATGTCTTTCATGATGACTAATGCTGGTTCTGATAAATTTTGAACCTGGAAATGTTGAATCGAATTGTGAACACAAATTCAGTATTTTCGGTTTGATTTTTCTTCATATTTTCCGTGTTTTGCATAATCTCTTTATCGAGATAATTTTCTCACTATAGGTCAATTAAAGATGTTTTATTTGCATTATGGCGCGAATATCTCACCTGTATTCGACTCTTCACAACATCAGCAGGGAAAATGACGAGCCACAGTACAGTACCACCAACTGCACCAGCTATCATAGTCTTCTGCCATCCAATGTCCTCTCGACTCTGACCCGGTTTCGCCAATAGTTCCCTGGTCGCCTCATATCCACCGAAGAAGAAGAAGTATCCCGGCATCTCTCGGGCTATCGTTGAAGACAGCCCCCGGAATAATCCAGTGAAGCCATTCTGGCGAACTATGTCCCTTGTCAGACGCCATGGCCCTATTCGTTTCTGAAAGAGATGGAGAATACATCAATTGGAAAACCGATTCCCATCGAAATGCTCGATGGAAAATATTTCATTGAAAAAATTAATTGACTTCAATAAAGTGAAAAAAACTTGGAAAATTTCTGTCGAGGAATTTCTGTGGAAAATGTCTCAATAGAAAAAGTTGTAGCAATCACGAGGGGAAGAAATGCGGAAAAAACTGAATGCACTTACAATTTTCTTGCCAGCATTCAACTCTAGCGACTGGACTTCTCTCATAGCTTGCAGCCGACATTTGATGAGTTCTGTTGGGCACAATGTCAATGACGAAAAAAAAGCTGCAAAGAATCCTGCACTCGCGTTTCCAAATGCATTGAGCTCCTCAACTTTTTGTTTCCCTGTTAAATGTGCAATGGCACTCTGACATGCCCCGTAAGCAGCGAAGAGAACTGAATTCTCAGCGACATTAGCTACAACTGCGGGGGCAGTGCCAGCGTAGAGACCCCTGGCTATTCCATCCTGTCTGAAAGTCTTGAGAAAACAGTCTGCCATCCCTTTGTACAGATCTGGAAATGTCTGCATCTTGACTTTGACTGTGTCGAGGGGCTGTCCGACATAAACGAGGGCAATTCCACCTGAATAAATTGATTAATCGTGGTCAATAATGGTTTTAGGGGAAAAGGGGAGGGCAATTAAAGTGCCTTAAAGAGGACAAACCAATCCCCCAATAACTATGAATGCATTAGAAGTCATGAATTTTTGGTTTTCTCACAAAAAAGGGCCTCAGAAAATGTAATAATTTCGTTACTCAATTTATCATCATCACTGATAATTAGGTGATCGATTGAACAAAATGTATCATCTGAGAATTCTTTCATTGATCACTTCAATATCTCGAGTTTGCAGTCGAAGTTCCTGGTAATGATGTCAAGATAAAGCAGGGAAAATACTGAACTGATAAAACGATAACTAACGGGTGAATCTGGAGAAAAAAAGTATCCGAAGCTATCACTTCACAAGAAAGTTTATGTCGTATTCTAAAAACTGCTTTTGAAATATTCAACTGTCAATTCATATGAAATTTCAAAAATTCAATAAAAATTTAAATATGAAATCAAGTTAATGTTCGATTTTTCGTACATATGTATCAATTCGCTGCGTTTAATGAATTATTAAATTGTGAAAGAAACTCCAAATGACAATTTCGATAATTCGTATGCAATTGTCAATCAATTCCAATAAATTAACAATTATTACTCCAAATTATTGATTTTTAGTTCTTCACAATTTCTCATTTCAATCGTCAATTGTTATCAGAGCAGGCACGTACCTGTGCCGTCTCCGCTAACACAAAACAACGTAGAATGTAAAAAATTATGGTAATTCCCAATAATAACAGGAAGACACGTTGGAAAATCCAAACCAACAAATAAGAAGTGATGCAATGGGTATTTACCAAGGGAACCGGCAACAAAGTCGATGATTCCCGTTTTCACGTGTTTTATTTTGTCTGCGGGACTCTCCACAGCCTCCATGGCCATAATTGATCAGCTGACACTCGATAACACCCTCGAGAAACGATCAATGAGTCTTCTGGAGGGCTCGGGAATGAGCACGTGTCTTTAATGTCAGGCCGGGGAGGCTATACATGCACCACTGATTCCGGCTCGGGGAAGATACACTATCTCTGGCCCACCAACGCTTATCACCAATCATAGTCCAACTGAATTGAACTGAATCATCATCTCCCTTCAGCCCAAGTAGAGGGGAGTGTGCAGTTCAATTCAACCGCAGTGAAGTGGGGGGAGAATCGAAGGAAGAGTGATTTTCAGTCGAATATTCACATGTGGGAGTGCCCGGTGTGCGCATGCGCAGTGACCTCCAACGTGTCTATTTCATGGTCACGTGGAGTGCGCATGCGAAATTCAAGTATGAATTGAGATTAATGAACTCAGCTGATCGGGGATCAATCCGAGAAATTCATTCAAATTTCTATTCAGTCGACATTCAACAGAAAATGATGTTTAATTTTTTGTAAGCTAATTTTTTTGGGGCTGTCATGTTTTTTCTTGTGACCATTGTGAACAATTAAATTAAATTCAACAATTGAAAATGAACGGTCGGAATTTCGCTTTAATGTTGATAACTCGAGTTTTGAGCCAACCTTAGTATTCATTGTTATACCTTCCGCCTGGATGCGGCGTCTAGATTCAGCTTTTTTCCGACGTTTCGCAAACATTTCAGTCTGCATCATTGCGCCAATGTGTTTCCTCGGAATTTTCAAACAAATTTCCTGTTCAAAGTTATTAAGGTTTTTCAAACGTCCTCCGAGTCTCCATTTTGTAAGTTCCTCACTCCACAATCCCATTTTTTGCTGAATAAAGTTGTTCTCTAAAATTCTCTAGAACATGTCTTAAGAATCGGAGGAGAAAGTTGAAGAATGTTGCGCAGAATCTGCAAAAAACGCAATTTTAATAGAATTTCTCAGAGAAAGCCCCAGTTTTTTCCATTAAATTTCTCCACATGACGCACACGTAGACGTGTTATTATTTACAATTCCCTCAGCCCCGTCTTCCCAATAAAATCCGCCCACTCCACCCAAATTTCCCAATAAATCAAACGCCCTCGATATCAAACATCACCATCTTGACGCGGAGGTGGTTGCCAGGCGACAGCTGGGACCCAACGGCGTTCGGTCGCCATAGTAACGCAGGTGTGCCACCAAAAATCAGTCAAAAAATTCTCCAGACGCAGTATTCGTCTGAAAAAATCCCCAAACATGGCCAACAACCTCAGACCGCCCCCGATTTCCCTCAACCGCCCCCAAAATGCCCAATCCCACCCTCATTTTCCGCCAAACCCCCCGGAAAACTGATGGTCAGACCAACTTCAAAGAAATAATCCCCAGGAATAATAATTCCAAAACCTCCCGAATCCTCCTAAAATCCCTAGCCCCAACATGTTTCTCGGTAATCCACGAAACATGACGTATATACGCGATCTTGTGGTAGTTCCTCACCACCAATAATCCATCACCGCTAATAAAAATAAAGCGAACAAACTCCATCGATCAATAATACAATCTCAATTGTCCAGATGATTCAGCAGTGAAAAAAATCCTGAACTAATCCTGAATTACCCACAAAGCCTGGACATCAGAATCGACAAGAGGCCTCGCGAGTGTGCGTGTCTCGGTCAATCTGCCATGATAGGTCGGAGCGCGTCCCCTTCGCGACCCGAAAAAGTCGATGAATAAACCACGAAATGCAGGAGCTCCTCTGTGAGGAGCAGCACTTTATGGTGAGTTGATTAATCTCGAGGTAATTATGATCGGTTCGAGGTGACATTTCGGGTGAATCGATTGGCCATTGGGGGGACATTCGGGGGTTTATGGATTTGTATGGGGAGAGTGTTCCGTCAGCGGCCATTAGCATTTCGGGGCATGGTCGACAGACTTTCGTGTTGAATTGTCAAAATTCGGGGGCTCCTGCCAGTGTTGAGGATTGTTCCTCGTTGATGGCGAGGTTAAAGCCCAATAATCGCTGATGACGTGAGCTCCTTGTCACGGGGTTCGATACGTCGTTCTCGTACGTTTCAAACGACCTGTTCTTTTTTTTCGTCTCAACAATTCAACGCTTCTTCTCCCTGTGGTGATGTTCGTGAGTTTGTTAATTAGTCGGTAATTGGGGGGCTGGGGATGGGGAGTTGATGAGGGGTCGGGGGGTTCGGGGTCCAACGGGAATGCGAGATTGGTCGGGGGGTTTTAAATGAGGTTTTGGTGATCCGTTGGTTGGAGCTGCATTGTTGATTTGTCTCGCATCGGTTTGTTGTTAATTTATTTTTGTCTCGGGGAGTTTGAGCCGTTGTGTTGGCAGGGGACGGGAGTTTGGAAGGTTTGGGGGGGATTTTTGATTCTTGGCACGAAGCTGATTTTGAGGTTTACTGAAATCTGGCTCGTAAGGGTTTTGGGAGACTATTTGGAGAGCATTTGTAAATGGAAATTTCTCTTGACATTTCTTCTTGAAAACAGCCATTAATGAGGTGATTGAACGTTTTGGAAATGGTTAATTATCTCGTTAACGATTGATTTAAAGGTTAAAATCAAGACTTTGTAGAGCTGAAGAAATTTCCAATATAAATCGTTTTCTGGGTTTTTTAGGCAAAGGCATATTAATGAGATAATTGAACAATGCGGAATTGATTGAAGACTTTGTAATAGAGGACTCTAAAGAATTCGTAAACAGAATTTTTTCATGAATTTTTTTCTCAAGACCACGCATTAATTAATTAATTGATTGATCAGTTATCTCATGAGCATGTTATTTTTTGCTGAAAACTATTTCGTGCTCGAATGAAAACTTTTTTTCAGTGAGTGTAAGGGTTGCAGAATGGTGGTGGATAGTCTTTCAGTTCAGGGGTCGGCAGCGACAGTGAGGAAGCACGAGCGTAGACTCGGTGGCATGGTGGGAAATAAGATGCAGCCAAACGGTACTGCCGGTGGCGGTATGACGCCCAAGGAATTGTGTGACAACGACGATCTTGCCACTTCACTTGTGCTCGATCCGTACCTGGGCTTTGTCACCCACAAAATGAACATTAGGTATTTCAATCACTCATACAACAATCGAATTGCATTGATTTCGGTGAATGTCAAGTCGTTTATTAAAATGGCAAGTTCATTCGATGTCAATGTAATTCATCATTGATAGTTTTATTTTCATTTAATGATTTTTCATTTGCGCAAGGAGAATGAGGAATTTCCACGTTGTGATTCAAAAATCACTTAATTTCTTCAAAATTTAACGTACAGTTTTTAAAATTGTCACAATGGGTTTTAAAATTCAAGCAGTCATTGAAAAATGAAAAACCGCTTGAAGAAAACTCAATTTTTCAGAACTTCCAAGATGAATAAGTTTTTCCATGAATCATATTCCAGAACTCAGGTTAATTTCATTAACGATTTGATTCGGAAATCAGGAAAAATCGTCATTAGCTTGTCTTTCTAACGGATTCATATCTTCTGAAATCCAAACATCCCAATGCTTTAACGAAATCTTAACAAATGTGTTCCAGGTATCGACCATTGAAGGCAAACAGGGACGAGCTTCGAAAGATAATAACGGATTTCATTCAGGCCCAGAACTACGAGAAAACATACAAAAAATTGATGGGTGGGGATTGGGGGGCGAGACTGCCGCACACAAAATCCAAACAACAACAGATTAATTTACAAGGCCATGTCTATCGTTATCTCAGGGTTTTCGACAAAGACTCGGGCTTTGCAATCGAGCCGTGCTACAGGTACTCCCTGGAGGGTCAGAAGGGTGCGAAAATATGTGCCACACGTAAATGGCTGAAGCACGATAAAATCCCCTGTCTCGTTGGTTGTATCGCTGAACTGAGTGAGAAAGAGGAGGCTGCCCTTTTGCATCCTGGTAAAAACGATTTTTCCGTTATGTTCAGCTGTAGAAAAAATTGTGCACAGCTGTGGCTTGGTCCAGCTGCATACATTAATCACGATTGTCGGGCCAATTGTAAATTTGTGGCAACTGGTCGTGATACTGCCTGTGTTAAAGTACTGAGGGATATTGAAATTGGCGAGGAGATAACTTGTTTTTATGGGGAGGACTTTTTTGGCGATGGCAATTGCTTCTGCGAGTGCGAAACTTGCGAGAGGCGGGGCACTGGGGCATTTGCCAGTCAAAAGCCCGGGGATGAGTTGTCGACAGGTATCTTTTTTCCTTTATTTTCCATTGAATAATGTTTACGACGAAATGATTAACTCTAATATCAATTTTCATTCAAATTATTAGTACTAATTATTGTTAGTAATTCCTGCAAGTCGAGACATTTTTTGTGTCTAAACCACTTGTTATCGAGATGATTCAACAATTCAGTTGCGAAATGGCGAAACGAGATGAGTTAATTTAATTTGAAAATGGCCAAATACTTTTGTTATTTTTTTCGTTGGAATAATCTTTAATATTGTTAAAAAATCTTAGAATAATTGGATTTAAACTTGCCGTTTCCTTTTTTTCCGTATTGGTTTTTTCGTACTCATCGCAAAAAATTTTAACAGTGTAAATACAAATGAATATGAATAATTTTTTATGTCAACTTTACTCGGCATCTCGTTCCCTCATTTCATCATAAAATGAAGGCATCAAGGACAGTTCTCCTCTCCTGTTATATTTCCAAAACGATATTTTTCTGGTTTGATTTCCAGGCTACCGTCTGCGAGAGACGGACAACCGAATAAATCGAACAAAACACCGGCAGCAGCCGCCGAGCTCCAACAAACAAGTGGACAGCGCCCTGACGGAGCGAAACGCAGTCCTAGTTGGTAACGCAGCAGTGGCCCCCCAGTCCCTGAGCATGAAGGAGTTACGACGCAAGGGACTAACGAAGTACGACGCAGAGCTCCTGATAGCGCAGGGCTGTCGTTTCTCGGACATAGCCCAGCAGCAGCCACTGTCCCTGGACGATGGCACCAACTCAACTCCAGCATCACGACCACATCCGTCCCCTATGAATGCCCATGGCACGAGGAATCTCCGCAACAAACAATCCACCAAAACCGAAGCCAACAACAACAACAACAGTGGAAACGTCAAGAATGGCCAGAGTCTCAGGGCCTCGAGACTCCAAAGAAGAACAGAGACGAAACGTACACGTGCCAGTGTAGACGAACGTCCAGCCCCACTAGCCGACAACAATCGTGATACTGATGTCAATCACCATAAGAATGAATACGAGAGAATAAGCATCACAAGATTCAGTGACGAGTCCAAAGAGAATCCCGGTGACTCGAGAATTCACGACACAAATGCGAAAATCGATGGCAAAATCAATCGGACTTGTTCAGTGTTGTCGAAAAATTCCGACTTCGATGATTTGAATTCAAAGAGTGAAAATACCAATTTAATTGTTGATAAAGAGATTGAGGAGTCATCACAAAATTGGAGAAATCCAGCGACAGTTTCTCTCAATGGAATGAGCAAGAGACGAAAGTCAATTCAGTCTTGTGGGGATTCGAGGGACATTGAGCACCGAAAATCACCAGCGCACGGTGAAACCCCGAGGAAATCGAACTTTGGACAGGTCGAGGGACAAACAGGGAACTCCGAGGGTGAGGAGTTCATAAATGCTGCCAAGACTGCACCTATGGAGAGCGAATTCTCCAAGGGTTTCAATGGTACGCATCCTGCCAAGAAGAGCCTGGATAAAATCAATAACATTCAGAACGATTGCACTAGGATAATCGAGGAAAAATGCCTTGAGATTCGGCGAGAAGTGGACGGAATCCTGGGTAACAGTGACGATTACGAAATGGATTACAGTGATGATAAATGTGAGAACGTGGACGAACAGCTGATGACAGTGAAAGACTCGAGTTCGAACAAATCTGAAGACTCCAGAAGTTTAACTCTCAAAAGATCAGAGGACACACCTGAATTACTCCAGCAAACGACTCCAAAATCCAGGAGAAGAAACAAACGTTGTCGTGGGGGAGTGACAAAGTCCAGAAAACGAAAGCTCATTGCTGACATCAATGCTAAAGATGATTCGAACCCCTCCAAGGGTCGAGGGGAGGTGAAGGTGAATGGCAGACTGACGAGGAGTTCGAAGAGGGATCAGAAGGTGACGACGAGTGTAGTTGGAGCTGGTGACGACGACTCAGGGATCCAGGGAGACATCTACGAGTTCAACGAGAAGGAGAGTAACCCAGAGGAGACGGAGGTAATCGGGAGAACCAAGCAGGAGAGCCACGAGGACCCCAGTGAAAGCAGACTCCAGGAGTTTAGTAAACTCGAGGCACCAGTTCTGGTGGCTGAGAAGCCATGGCCCACGAAAAAGGACGAGGCCAGGCACTCCAGGGAGCCTTCATTCGAGCCAACCGAGAATCAGTACAGATCAAACGTTAAAGATTGTATTCTCAAGAAGCCTCATCCCCCTCCCCCAGAGAATTGTCACTGGCAGGCAGAGACTCGTTGCAGGGAATGCCCCATCACTCCAGAACGTCCTGGTGGACGTTTAAAGCTCACGCTCCGCATGAAACGTTCACCAATTCTCGATGATATCGTTGAGTCTGGCACGAGTCTCAGTGAAGACAGCTATGAGCCTGAGTACGAGGTGCTCAGGGTCGAGGGAGTCGAGAGCTCGAGACGAAAGAAAAAACACAAAACTCGTGATCGCGAGAGACGACATAAAAAACGGGAAATACATCTCGATCCACCTCCACCACCCATGAAGAGACTCCGACTCATCTTTGGGAATGAAACACACACCATTGATCTGCCACACTCTTAACGATTCACCTCTGGTTAAATTAATGATGGGCAAACTTGAGGTTTAATCGTTTATCGAGTCATCGAGGGGCGGCAGGATCACTTGTTTTTTATAAATATTGCAGGTACATCTGCAATTCGAAGGGAAAAATACTTCAATTATACTATTGTACAATAGTATTAACGTGGAAATAAATAACAGCTTGAGCTGTTTAGGTAGAAATTAGTATTACTTATGTACTCGAGAGAATTACAGAGGCAAATTCAGGAAATTTAATGGTTAAAGGAAACTACTGAATCGATTTCTGATATCATTAAAATTGTACATAGCGATTACGTTAAGTAAAGAAATCGTACGACAAGTGTGGATTAACGGATTGTGTTGAAACGTTTTTCTCACGGTGAGGAGGAGGGAATATTCTGTTGTGGATATTATTATACGCAGGAGAAAATTTCATAGAAACAGTGGGGATTTGATGGAAAATTGAACTTCTATTAAAAAATCTATTAGCTTTTAGTCGAAAATGTCCGATGGAATCTCATATTTCTACACAACTCTTTCTAGTCAAACATTTTCTGTAGGAATTCCTGGATATGAATCCTCCAAGTTTTTTCGACTCTATTTTTCTCTTCTCTTCATAAAAAAAACAATTAAACAAAAAAATCTGGAACATTTGAGCCGAGGGATTTCTGCAGAAAATATTTCAATGAAATAAGTTGTGTAGGTAAATCGAATTCTATTATTTTTTTCTGTAGAATATTTTCCATTGACCATTTGCATCGAAAAAAAAACATGCAGATAACATAACTAATAGAAAATTCAATAGAATTTTACTTTTCGTTTTTCTGCTAAATTTTTTCGAACGTATAATGTCCCTCTTTGAACGGAAAACGCTTGGGTGTCGCCATGACGCGCATCTGCTTCTCATAACGGTCAGTTCGTACTTCAATTATCGATTTTCATAACTGAAGTTTTATCGATCACATTTGGAAATTAAATAATTGAAATTCAATGAAAAATGCATGAATTTAATTAAAATGAAAAATTGTGTGAGTTGCACACGTAATTCTGGTCTCTCTGGACATTTAATTTGCTTTTATCTCTTACTGAAAGAAATTCCTACAGTTTAAATGATCAATAAATATTACGGAAATTCTCCTTCGCTCGTGCAATAGAATTAATCCCATGAACGTATAAATAATTATAAATAAAATTCAGTGAAGTAATTGAATGCGATGTAAAAAGAATCTTTTAGAGTTTGAGAAAACCTAAAATTTAGAAACTTAGATTTTTCCTGGAAAAAGATTATCCACTTTTTCCCCCCAACTCTATGATATGATGAAATGATGAAAAACGTTTGTGATATACTATTACTGTACCACCTAAAATATCTTTGTTCCGAGTGATTGAGAAATGCTGTAGCTATTCAAATTCACTTTTTTTCAACTAATTCGCGATTAAAGGAGTATCTATGGGAAAATTTATGAGAAAAATCTAATGCTTTCTAGTGTTTTTTTGGAATTTTGTTGAAGATCATGCAATTTCTATTCAACTGTGTCATTTTTTTTTAAATATTGCATCAAGGAAAGTTCAATGTTTTTTTATTTTTCTATAGAAATTCTTCGGCATGAATTCTTCAAGCTTTCTACGCTGTTTTTTTTATCTGTTTCTGAGAACAAAATCCCAAAGAAAATTGTTAATTTGGTGGCAAGAATTCTTATACAAAAATCCGAAAAAACGTAAGACATAATTTCACAATTGTCGACAGAATTGTAATAGAAATTTAACAAAATTTCTCATAGAAAGCCCTGGGTTTTTCTATTAATTTTTTAAATATGTGTAACAGGGAATTCAATTCATTGGGTGAGGGATAAATCAGATGAATCAACATCGAAATGATTTTTCAATGAATATCTCTCCTGCAAAACTGATTTTCGAATGAAATTGCCTCATCTCGTTTTGATCACAAGCTCATCACAAGGTCGATTCAGCGTGAAAATTGGGGGTAATCTCGTCGGTAATTTCATGTCTTTGCCAAACTAGTTGCATAGAATTTTTTCACTATTAAAAATCCCGGTGAACTCGGAGTAATTACGGAGGAGAATGCCCGCGCATTCGACTTACCTCTTTTATCCATTCATTTTCTATTTCAAGAAAGAAGAAAAAAAATAAAATCGGTCGTTTATCAAGAACAACTCACACCTGTTTTTCCGAGGTAAATTAATTTTCTCTCACTGCCATTAGATGAATTTTTAATTGTTATATAGAATGATTATTATAAATCAGTTTTCATTATCACGCTTAAAAGTGTACCATTCGTCATTTAATTTAAAAATCATTGAGGAGACCATTGGAATCACTTCTTACTGTGAAATGACGAAAGATTATTTGAGTGAACACTCGTCAAAATCTTGACTAGGTAAAAATTCGCAGTGAGTGGTAATTGTTGGAGGATCGCAAGGGACGTCCATCGATGTCATGGAATTTTAAATAATTTTTACTTCACGGAATCATTTACCACCTCTGGAGAATAATCCATGCGGTAGTATTTGTAATCACGTTAATCATTAATTGTTCGTTTTTAATGTCTTTTTTTTCTCTTCTTTTTGTACGATCCCAGCAAACGCAAACCGGTTCAAACTGCAGATGAAAAGCGAAGAGTATGAGACGAAGATACATTGTCATTATTATTTTTTATGAATTAGGATATCGCAATAAACGACTTCAAATAATTATCACGTTTTTTCCACTATAGTTTCACTTGTTTCGGCCCTAAAGAATTAATTTTCAATATTCTTCAAGCAATGATTTTCGTAAAAAAAATTGAACCTTCGCATGAAAGAGTTATGAGGCAAGGGATAACGTAAGGGAAGTACCAAAACCGAAGCCAACAACAACAACAGTGGAAACAGGACGATTACACTAGGACAATCGAGGAAAAATGCCCTGAAATTCGACGAGAAGTTGATGAACTGCTGGATAACAGTGACAACTACAAAATGGATTTTAGTAATGACAACTGTGAGAACATTCACGTTTTTATTGAATTTTAATTCCTCAGCAAAAGTTTCCATGAAAAAACAACTGTACACCCCGTCAGCCTCACGTTCTTCCTGTTTTAATACGAAAATAATAGAAAAAGGGATTATTAAGTCTCCATTCGGATGGATCCAATCTGGTTGAACAGCTTGTCCTTGATGATCTGTGTCATCAGCCCCTGGATGACTTCGATAGTCGTCTTGCAGCTGTCCCTCGTGGCCTTCGTGAGCTTATCTTCAGGCTTCACTTCCTGCGACTCAGCAGCGAGTAGAAACCCGTGACTACTGCGGCTCACGAGAGACTCCGACTGCTCGAGCTTGTCAGCCAAGTCGAATATCTGTCCAGTCGTGTAGTCTGCGTTCGTCAGGAGACTCGATGAGCTCAAAGTGTTCACCCAGTACTTGTTCCAGAGGGACTCCAGTATGCGTTTGTCCAGGGAAGACTTGAAGTAGGAGACTTCCAGGGGGTAATACTGCTTACAATGAACTCCAAAGTCCTCGATTTTGTTCAGGGGGATCGTTTGGTATTCTGAGGGCTCTTCATTCGCTGGTTTGTAGCCCTGGGGTGAAAGAAAATTAACTCGTCAGTGGATAAATGATTAATTATTTTTTGAATTGATTCGTTTTCATCACTTAAATGACTGATCAATTGATCATTCAGAGCTTGATTAATTATAAAATGATCAATTGTTCATTTATTTAAAAAAACAAATGGTTCACGATAGAAAAATCGTTTCAAATTGTTAACAATTAAGAGTTAGAAAAAAAATACCTTAGGATAAGTTCTGAATGCCCCAAGACAGACTTTCCCCGCTGAAATGGTCCTCACAGGATCGATGACAATGGCCACGAAGGGATCCTGAAACGTCTGATTGTTGGTCTGGGTTGACACATCAATTCCCGACAACCAGCAGCCATACCCAGGGTGACTGTGGTACCAGCCAATGGCGTTCTCCGGTCTGCCCACTTGCTTGGCAGCTTCTATGTAGGCAGCCATGTACTCGTACGCCTGCTCGTGGGCATTGACACGAGTCTCAGTCCCCTCAACAGGTAGAGCGAACGAATCCATCACGATCATCGTGTTGGCAGTCACCTTCCCCAGGAGGAGACCCATTATCTCCAGGGTACCACCTGAACGTGCGTGCATCACCATCTTCAGGAGGGCGAGAGCTGAGATTTTAATGTCCTTGAAGAAGTGGGGGCTGAAGGTGGGGAAATTCAAGGGGATTAGAACATTCTGTTGGATCATTTAAGCATGATCTTGAAGCAGATAAAGTTTTTATTGATTTTTTGCATAAACTTTTTGGTCGCAGGTGAAAAGAATGAAGGGCTTTTTTCGGACTTTGAAATGAGACTCGATTCATTCATTGGAAGAATACGCTGTTGCAATTTTTTTGAAATGTAAACAACAGTTGCTTCTAAATTTTCAATTTTGGGAATTTAACTTGAATTGAAGAATGAAACTTCCTTGAAATTTCAGTCCCTAGATTGATTTATCAATAATAATGGAATAAGTTCCATTTTAAATTAATCTCTTTCCCCAAATTTTTTCCTTTCATCTGTTGCCATCAGAACAAATGAATAAATCCCCCCATCATTCCCCCACGCGTCATTAACAACAGAAATTAATTACTCTTTCTCCCAGGGCTTGGCAGCCAGGATGCTCTGCTGCTCCATGTAATCGTATTTGTATATCTCGTCCACTGCTGATATCGTCTCCACATCGTTCGACATCTCCCACATCCTCTGGGCAATCGTCGGCTCTTCCTTCGACGTTCTAGCCATTTTCGCAGTTCTCTGATCCTCGCGTCCAATAAAATCCTTACGTCGATGGACACCGATATGATTTTATATCTCCAAATGTTCACAATATTCCTCTCAGCTTCAGCACCTCCAGAACAAAGGAACAGCGAGGACCTAACCTCCACCAAATATTTGTTTTTATGAACGAAGATCCCCTCCCCTGCGAATTAATTCAATTAATGGAGTGGGATATCGACTCGAAAAAGTGATGACTGTTCATATTTCATGGGTTATATCATTTATCGAAGGGTTTTTAATGACATTTATGAGGGAATTACCTACCGAGAACGACAAACGCTTTTTATGCTAGTTTTTTTGGCTTTGGGCGAGTTTTTGTAAACATTCTCCCATTCTCCTTTCCCTCCAATCAGCTGTTGCTTGCGAGACGCCATAACCTCACAATAAGTCTCTCCACGTGGGGATCTGTCAGAGCAACTTGATAAACATTTCAACTGTATTTCAGAACTAATTTTAATGGTTAATGAGGAGCTCTTTGTTTTGTTTTAATGAGTGATTGAGGGTTGTTCATTATGAGTACGGAAATAAAGAGTTTTGAGGATTTGAAGCTGAATTCTTGGATAATAAAGCAGTTGGCAACAATAGGTAGGAGGAAACTTGTCAAAAATTTAATGGAAATAATAATAATGGAAATGATTCAAACGTTTTTTATGCAAAAATTTTACGAGAAATGAAAATATTTATGTTTGATTATGGATTTTTGTGAGTTATGTTTGGTGATGTGATTTTCAGGGGTGAAAAAACCTACCCCTATTCAGCAGAATTGCATTCCGAGGATACTGGCTGGTGATGACTGCATTGGGTGTGCTAAGACAGGCAGTGGAAAGACACTAGCCTTCGCCCTGCCAGTTCTTCAGAAGCTGTGCGAGGATCCTTATGGCATTTTTGCACTGGTCCTCACGCCAACTCGAGAATTAGCGTTTCAGGTATGAATTGAGAAAAGTTTGGAGTATAAACAGCCATTTCTTCACTATCGCAAATGATTAATAGGAACATAGAATTAATTACGATTCACTTAAGAATGGACAATTAAAAATGAGCAACTCGTTCCCATAATTCTAATGAACTCATAATTTTCCTTTTTTTTAACCCTTAAAATGATCATAAAGACGAATAAAACATGATTGAATGTCCCTTATCAATTAGAAACCTAATTGCAATTTAATTTCATTAATTAACCATCACGAGAACAATAAAAAAATTAACAACGTATGCTCTTAATTCATGAAGCTGAAACTAGCGAAAGATTCGATCGCAGAATATTTCTCCGACGAATCTAGGGGTGTACAAATGTTTTCAAGTAATGTACAAACTCTTTCGCACTTGAAAAATATTTGTACATATCATTATGTTACTCTCAATAATGCTCTCCTACACTTAAATATCTCCTAAATTGAATTTTCCACTGACGAATATTCTGCTAATTTAAGCTTCATTATTAATTCACTAATTTCTGCTCTCGCCAGATTGCCGAGCAATTTTCAGCAATCGGCAACGCGATAAACCTGAAAAAATGCGTGGTGGTGGGTGGAATGGACATGATGGTCCAAGCCCAGGAACTGGCGAGGCGTCCTCACATAGTGGTGGCCACCCCAGGAAGGCTTGCGGATCATTTAGAGAGCTGTGACACATTCACCCTCGACAGGATTAAATTCCTGGTGCTTGACGAGGCCGACAGGCTGCTCGGGGGCCACTTCGATGAACAGATAGCCACTATTTTCAAAGCCCTCCCTAAGCAGAAGCAGTCTCTGCTGTTCAGCGCCACGATAACAGACACTCTCGAGCAGGTCAAGAGGGTGGCCTCCAACAAGGTCTTCGAGTATGAGGCTGAGGACGACTCGGGCACTGCCACCGTCAAGGAGTTGGATCAGAGATACGTTTTGTGCCCCAATGACGTCAGGGACGCCTTCCTCGTGGAGGTTATCAGAACCTTTCGGGCGGAAAATGAGAGTGGCTCCATTATGGTCTTCACTGATACCTGCAAGTATGTATTTCATTGCTGGATAGTTATGTTTTATTTTTTTTTTTTTTCATTTTTCATTTCAATTTTTTATTTCTTTCATTTACATTGATGAAGGTTTAAATATGCTAATCAAAATTTAAAAATACTAAAATAATTGATCATCTAAATTTCCAATTGATGATGAATTAAATATTTTATCATATGGAACCGTCAATTTTTTATTGAGTAAATAATACTCAATTTCTTATAAGGGATTTTTGATTATCCAAATAATCAAATCAATCTTCCTAACTAAATTTGTCTCTGTTTATTTTTTCATGCATTCCCCATCAATTACATGAAAATGTAATTTACAAAAATTGTAATTTTTAAAATAAAAGTAGATCTTCAATTTCCGAAAAAAATTCTTGAAAAAAAAATGTCTTCAATGGTTCACAATGCAACTGAAAGAGAAAGTCTAATGTTCAAGAGATGTTGAAAAGGATTAAAATTGAGAGAAAAATGTTAAAAATCCCTGGCTAATTCCCCATTCAACAATAAATTCTTTTCACGACTGAATTTCCTCAGATCCTGTCAGCTTCTCTCTATGACTCTGAACGAAGTTGGCTTCGAGAATGTTGCCCTCCACGCGATGATAAAGCAGCGCGAGCGTCTGGCTGCCCTCAACAAATTCAAATCGAATCACACAAAGATCCTGATCGCCACTGACGTAGCTGCGAGAGGACTGGACATTCCCCTCGTCGAGCTCGTCCTCAATCACTCGATCCCCAACGTTCCCAAGGAGTACATTCACCGAGTGGGGAGAACAGCCAGAGCTGGGCGCGGTGGCATGGCCATCAGTTTAATCACCCCTTATGACATTAAACTGCTGCATGCTATTGAAGAGACCATTGGGACTAAATTAACTGAGTTCAAAGTCGAGGGTATGATGATGAAATATTCTACTTTATGTCATTTCATTTTATTTTCATAAAAATCCAACATCGTGAAGCCAATTGCGAGATAAAGTTTCACTTCACAAAACGCTCAACAGTGATTTTAACAATAAATTCGTCTTTTCCAACATTCCTTTATTTACGCTCCTATTGTTCTTTATGGAAATGAATAACATCATACATCAATTCAATAGTTTTCAAATTAATAATTTCACTATACTTATGATATCATGTAATGGAATTGCATAATGTAGTGAAGTTTACCACTTCCTCATTACAAATTTCTCATCACAAAATTAACAAGGTAAATTGATTTTTTTCTTCTGACTTCAGATAAAGAAATCGTCACGATATTCACGCAAATATCCGTGACAAAGCGCGAGGCTGAGATAAAACTGGACGAGACTGATTTCTACGAGAAGAAAATGATCAATAAGCGAAAAAAATTGATTCTGGAGGGGAAAGATCCCGATGAAATAGAGGAAATTCTTGCTGCTAAGAAGAAACAGCGAAAACGAGAGAAGAAAAAGGTCGAAGCTAATAGAACAAAGGGTAAAGCTGTTGAGAATGAGAAAACTGTGGAGAAAGGGTCAAACGATAGTTGACACATTTCATCAGGAATAAATCACTTCAATTGACTTTAATTTCACCTTTATTCAATATGTGGTACATCACAGTAAAAAAATTATTTGCTTCCCTGACAGATATTTATGAAAAGAGAAACAAATTCTGTTGATTGCTCAATAATTAGGTTAATGTCGAATCATCGATTAATGGGGCTGATTGAATCAACTGGGTGACGTTTGATTCACTGAAGGCAATTGACTATACATCAGCGAATGCTCATTTTTACCCCACAATCACAGGAAATTGCGATTTTCAGTTGCATAAATTTTTTTCACTGTTGGATATGCAAATTGAATGGGAAATATCTTGATCTATGTGAAATTAACGAATTATTGTACTTATAAAAGAAAAAATAATCTTATATTTATCAACAATTTTCGTATTTCAAATCTCTAAGCGAAAAATTTCGTGAACCATTTGTGTTCTTGAAAAACGAAATAGTTCTCCTTAATAATGAAGGGGAAATTCGAGACGAAGTGGCAGCTAAAGGCACTTGATTGCTTATCCAACAGCGGTATTCCCTTTCAAAAAGTCATTAGAACACGAGAGTCAATGCTGTAGCTCATTTTATATCGTATTTCGACCGCACATCAAGGTTGTGTCAATTCAGCATACGGGCGCGAAGTTTATCCTCATTCTTGACCATTTTCAGCATGTTGAGGAATGTGTACAGTTCTTGGGTGTATTCCCTCGGGTATTTTCGGAAGTGTCCAACGTGCGCTGAATGATCGAAAATCTTGACATACGTCTGAAAATAAAGCGGAAAACGTCAACATTATTAATATTTATTAACATGAGAAAATTCATGAGTAATTGTTAAAAATTATTTTTCGATTGTTTTGCACAAAAAATAGAATCTCTCCCATATTCTCAGAAATACAACAAAAAATCTCCCTCTCAAATGGACTGAACTCAATTCTTCATCAACTTCTCGGATTATTATTAAATTAAGACTCACAGGTGTTCCCATCGATTCCCAAGAGTCTCGAACCCTCATATTGCTCTCAACAGTTCCAACAGTATCAGTATTGCTGATCAGAAAGAGAGCTGGTGCCTTGACTAAATTCGTGTGAAACATTTGACTCGATCTGATGTAGTACTGCGTCGCCTGATTGTAGAATGTCTTCAAGTGATACCTGAAATTGTTTAAACAAACCAATGAACAACATCTTGTCTGTTGGGGCATGAGTAATCGAGGAATGTCATATTTACTCTAAATATTTTTCAAGAAATTTCTGCATCACTGCATTGTTCTGGAAGACAGCTTTGGGTATGCCGATGCACATTTCACTGACGTCCACGGCACTGTCCCATACCTGACCGACAATTCTCTCCATCAGGGGGTCGTATCTTCGACGATCTTTGTGGACGTAAGTCAGTAGCTCTCCCCACATGTATCCACCAACGGAAAAACCGTGGATCATTATTTGCTGGCTATTCTTTGTGTTCTGCTCGAGGAAGGCCAGCAGGTCGTGTGCAATGGGCTGTAACAAAATGTTGATGCTGATTTTTAAAAATTTAGAACTTGAATCGGTGAATTTTATTCATCTAGACTACAGGTGATTTGAGGGGAAAACATCGGAGGAAGTTCACTCGTGAGAAATGTAAAAATTTAATGAATTGTGCATACTCTGGTCCCTTTAACTGGCCACATTATCTGCCAGGGGGTCGACCCGACGTGAAGGACGTCAAAGCCCTGCTCCAAGTACAGTTGAGCGTACTTCCTCACGTACTTCGGCTTTGCCATCAGCCACGAGAGCAGCACCAGCAGTGGTTTATCCTCTGGCTTTCCATCATTCTCCAATTTTTCCAGAGTCGGTGGCCTCGAGTCCATGGTGATGAGCTCCATGTTCTTCGTGACATGGTGAGTCGATACTAGCCGACAGCCTATGAAACCCAGCAGCTAGAGGGAAATATTATTATGATTTTATTATTATTTGCATAATTTTTTATTCCAGAATGTGACGATTCTATCGGGTGATATATGTCTTGACCCGCATTTGCTGTCGTTTTATCATAAATTTCTCGTTCATAGTCAGTAAATTTTTTCGGATCTCTTTGCTCCGCAAAAAATTCTACAATATTATCGTCTTCCGTGAACTGGTCGGCAAGCTGAGAATTTATTCGGCTCAACCACTTTATTGCTGAATTAAAACCCCTCCGTAACGACTACTTGAGATTAATCACTGGTTTATCATTTGAATGGCAAGAAAATCAATCGAAAGATGCCAGAGTCCAAAGGTATCAAAGAATCCGGCGTGATCTCGGGGCATGTGAATACCGCATATAACTGCGTGGTTTCTGAATAGAAATTCAAATCTGCCATGAAACTCATTCTATTGAAATATTTTCTGCAGAAATTCCTCGGCTCAATTTTTCTGAATTTTTTGTTTGAATTTTTTAATGAGGGGAAAAATAGTGTGGAAGAAAAAAAATCATGTTGAAAAAATCCTATAGAGTATGTTTAAATAAAAAACAAAGTTCAAGTTGCCTAGAAACACGAAATTCTACCGATTTCATTTGTAGAATATTTTCTATTGGAATTTTTTTAGAAAGGGTGCGAAATTTATCAATAGAATCGCCCAAAGAATTGAATACAATTTTCTGTTGAATTCCCTATTATTTTTTGCTCGCATTGATGTAAAACTCACCAGATTCTGCTTGTTTCCACGGAGTGGTGACTGCCTGATGGCGGCGAACCGGCTGCGAGCAAGGGTCACCACAAAATTCCGCACGAGCGACATTATGTGCTGTCAGTGGTGGACTAACTGCAAGCGATAGATTTATAAATCAATCAGCCCCGACTCTTCCACGAATAGTTTACCGTAAATATCTGCAACCCTGTGTCACAAAAGCTTTCATTCAGCAGAGTAAACCGAAATATTCGCCGCTGATTCTATTTAAATTCCTCTTTCCACCGTAACTCATAAATCATAAACCGGACTATTCATCTCTGATTCGATTTAAAATCCTCCATCCATCGTAAATCATAAATAAATTCACGTAATTGGTTGAGGAGTACAACAAAGTGGTAGAATTTAGCAATTGTAATTTTACAACGCGGAGAAATCCTAATGTCCTCCACTAGTTAATGAAAATTAAATGACATTTTCTTAATGTTCAGAATTCCAAAGAAAATTTATCAATTGAGGCCAGTCGAGACCCTCTACAAACGGAAGCAACTGTCCTCTTCATGAAAAAAAAAACAATTTATTAAGAATTTGGTGATTTATTGATAAAAGATTTGCTACGCGCCCCCAACAACGAGAAAATGACCAAATGGGTACTTTCGACTCATGTTTTAATGTTCATGACTCGACAATGAATTCATTAATCAAGGCTGATTATAACCATTATATCATTACAGTTCGATAATTACGCAAGTCCGCAAACATAAGCGAAAAAAATTAATATAATTAGTATTACAATTATACATCATATAATAATGGGGTAAAATGAACTCTTGTGGCTTTTTTTTAATGTTCATGACTCCAAAATAAATTCCTCAATTAAAGCTGATTGTAAGCAGGAAGAATGTAAAAAAATACTCAACAATAAACACTTCTGAATTTTTTTAAATATTCATAATTCAGGAGCAAATTTATTTGGAGTCAGTCTAGGCCCATCACAAGGGAAGACCATTTGAAAGAAGTCAAGTGTCCATTTTCCCACATTCTCACAACAACGAAGAAACTCGTAACTCCTCCGCCTTCATATGAGTGAAAATGAGGCAAATGAACACTTTCGACTCATTTTTCAATGCCCCTGACTCCAAAATAAATTCATTAATTGAACCTGATTATAAACACGAAGAATTAAAAACAATCCCATCGTATCGACAATTCAGTGAATTTTAGCATTTCAAAAAAAGTCGAGAGCATCTCTATTTTCTCCCGTGCGCGAACGGTAGTTTTACGCGTGCCAAGCCACATCCGCATTCCATCCGTCAATATCAACAAAATTAATTCTCCAAAAATAACAACGAATTGTCGGATAGCCGTGACATCTAATAGCCCACTGTCACGTGGTTGTGAGCCAGTCTGACCCAGGAATTTCGTACAAACCGTAGTGAAGAAACTAGTGCGAATGACTGCAATAGGAAATGGAGTTTCTGTCACGTTTTGGCGTTCGTCCCTAGGCACATCCCACTCGGGATTATTTTTGCGAGACAGAATTACAACACTCTCGTTATATTATTCAGTGGTCTCGCGCATTATTGACACCGTGGGAGGCAGCATTTACATTCAACTTGAAACGGTAACCATTCAACCACAATTATCCACTGATAAATTACTAACTGGCATAAATGCTCGAGCCACAAGTGCAGAAGACGAATATTCTTATTCCTCCACTCGCGCTGTGCGGCTGACGACTGAAGGGTGAGTGGAGAGTGCTGTCGCATTAGCCGATGTATATATGTAGACATATGCACGACGCATGTGTCAAAGAGAGAGAGAGAGAGAGAGAGAGAGAGAGAGTTAAATGCCCGCCGTACAGTCCCAACAAAATTATTCATTTTTATTCATTCGCCCGAGGTTGATTGAAGAAGAGAAAAAAGGAAAGGAGAGTCTGGGGTTGGCGGACATTCTCGCATTGAAGATGATGATGCTCTTCCGGATGAGCCATTTTTATATTCCAGGAGGATAATTTAAATAATTTAAATAAGGTAAAGGCTCATTAAATCACTCGTTATTTGACACTTGAAAGAATGGACATTGATCTGCATACTGTAGACTCTTGTAACAGTACAAAGACGCGTCATGAAGCAAAAACTGACTACGATTATGCAGTCCCAATATTAAAATATGGATATTCTCTTCACACTTAGAATGACAGACATTACATAATATAATAATAATAATAATGGCAGAACCTTTTTAGTTTCTAATTATTAATTTTTGTCAGTTATGCTGTTTATTCTGCCGAAAGGCAAGGATAGAAGTCGAATTTTTGGGTATTCTTTCAGTATTCGAAAGAATATATCGATGTTAAAACTTTCCGGATCCGAGAGAGATTGAAAAATTGAATTTTTTATTTCTTCCCACCCGCGTTATTTTGTATTTTTTAATTTCTTCTCGTTAAAATGAGATCATAAAACGAACATATTCATATGCCTCCCGTGTTTTCAAGTGGCTTCTGGATCGCCAGGGAGCCAATTATCCCTTTTTAAAAATTTTCAGTCTCCAATTCATTCATCATTATATCAAAAAACAAGGATAGAAATCGAATTGATGGGTATTCTTTCATTATTGGAAAAGATATTTGACGGGGTTATTCGTCCGTAGGAAGAAAAATATATATAACAAGAATAAGAATGAGTCGAATTAACTTAATCTAATCCTGAAGATGGAAAAGGCAAAAAAAATAATAATATAGTATAGGGGAGGTTGGGGTAAAATAGACACTTTTGACTTTTTTTCAAATGTTAATAACAGCTGAAAAAATTGAAACATAACAGCTGATGAAATTCAATAGTTTTTTTTTCAATGCAACGAACATTTCTTTCCCTTTGTAATGAGCCTAAACTGAGCTCAATTGATGAATTTGTTTCTGAGTTATGAGTAATTTTAAAAAAGTCCAAAGTGTCCATTTTACCCCATCCTCCCCTAAACTAACATCGCTTTCGTTTTTTTCGCTTCGTTTTAACGAAATGGTAAAACGGTCCAAGTCAATTTCGACTATTCGTTACTTTTCAATGAATATCTCGGAATCTAGGGCAGATGGAAAATTTTTTGTTATTACCTTATTTGTCCAGAAAATTGAGGGCTACGAAAAAGATGATGATGTTAATGTCGGTATCTCCCTCAGATTCGGAGATATTCCTCGAAAACTCGGCTGAGAGCTAAGTCGACTTGAACCGTTTTACCGCTTCGCTACTGAATTCTTTTCACATCATGCACGCAGTTAGTCTTAGGCATGAGCGGAAGTCCCTTGCTAATTAGCTATTGGAGAACCATGAACGGTGAATTTATTTTTGAAATATTCGCGTGGAATGAGGAAAGTGGGACACAGTGGTGCGGAATTGTCGGCGAATTGTCACTCGAGGACGATTTGATAATAGTTGAGTAGCGTGTCGATGGCTCGGATGTCGTGACCGGTATTGTTATTCTTTTGAACGATGTGTCGCGTGATGTTCCTCATGATTATTGAAAATTGAAGCTTTAGGCGGGGGTTCAGTGGAAATTGAGGGGGGAGGTAAGGCGAGTTGATTTCAGGATTAGGTTTTGTGGGAATTAACAGATTGGTTTGGGACGAAAATGTCCGATAGAAACGATTTTATTCAAAAAATCAGTAAAATTTCATTGTTCCAGACAACTCATTCTATTCAGACATTTTCTGCAGAAATTCCTCTACATAATTTTCATCAATTTTACCCTCTACTTTTCTCCTCCCTCCGTGAAAAAAAATCAAATAAAAAAACTTTAAAAATTTGAAATGAGGGAATAATATAGAAAATGTCTCAGTAGAATAAGTTGTACAGAAAAATCAGATTCAATTTTTTTTATAGAATAATTTCAATTGAACTCGGAAAACCGATAGTACTGGAATGAATGATAAATAAAACTCCAAGACAATGACTTCACTCATATTCTCTCCACCTTTATTACATTTTCTTGTTCCTTCGATTAATGAAATATATTAGAGAATGCTACGTGTGTAAATTACGCATGGGCACAACATCAAGAGATTCCGCTTTTCCTTCTTTCGTTCTTTGTTACGTAGGAATTTGTTTCATCGTCAAGTTTTTTATGTTTGGAAGTACTACTAGCTGATCGGCGTTCGTTTGTTATCATTTCAACAATTGTTTCGGTGGGTACCGGATGAGTACGTGAAAACATTTGCTATTTTTAAAATTCAGTAGAAAATTTCAAGAGAAGTATTTTTTTCTTCGAATGAATATCTCAGGGCGTTTGTATTTTTTTTATGTTAAAACCTTTTTTGTAGCTCTATTATTACTACAAAATCAATTACGAAAAACCAATACCATTAGTTATTTATTTTAATTCATCAAAATGAAAAAATGAGCCTTCAAAGGTTTTGAGATTAAATAAAATCCTGTCCAGTATTTTTCGCCCAATTTTCATATTCAGCAATGAAAAAACATTCCAAAATCGCAATTGTAAATATTAAAATTTTTTCACAAAAAAAAAACCCTCAAAAAATTCTCAAAAACTTGTCTCGCCATTCTCTACTGAATAAATCTTCTCCCACCTCTGCATCCCGCAGAATAAATGTCTCTGAATTCCTTTGCCCACAGTTAATAAAACGTAGATAATTTGAACCATTAAAATTGCGTTACAGTTTGGTTTCCTCGTCTACCTCCATAAACCCACTACTTCGCTACAATAAATAATTTGGACGTCATTATTACTCAATCGATAAATTAAAAATTGCTCAGTGAGCCCATCGTTGTGGGTGGGATGAAGCTCGTAAAACTCGTCCAAGACGATAATGTCAATTATTCTGTTTGTGCTTATATGGTACAATATTAATCTCCTTTACCACCTATTTTATCATAAAATGTGACTTACTGATCTACAGTCATACAAAATGGGTGTATAAATATTATCTTCATTTTGGGAGGGGGTGTACGACGGCCATTTTGCGGTAACATCCAAAAATAATCGAAGAATTTACCTACCAATAGTTTGTGTCAATGATTTTTATTCATTAGTTTTTGTTCAATCTTAAAGTAGTGAAGTATTATTTTTCGAAAAAAGTCAGCGAAAATATTCTGACATTGTGCTTGTGCGTTATTAAATTCGTGCTGAAGATTAAAATGTCATTGTTGAGGGGCCTTGGGTGTGAAAAAAATACTGAGGCGGGGGAAAACTGCGTTATGAATTCTCCGTCAAAAGGGGATTAAAAAATTTGAGACAAGTTGAAATTTTTTTTGAGATTAAACGAGAGAGATTGAAAGTGGAAAATACTTGGAGAATTCATGACCCAGATTTCCCCCGACTCCAGTAGATTTCCATCACCCCTTCGCCCCCTCAATCTCAACTCTTCGATTATAATTGTTGAATTGAATCCAGAAAACGTACCTGAACACAAAAAATTCCATTCCACTCAATTTTCCCATCTCACTTACAAATACTCATTTACATTTTTTATCAATTACGAACTCTCGAATTATGCGTGATTAATCAATCAATACATTTTCCTATCTAAACGCAGTACAGACGTTACCCTATCCGACAGAAGCCTTGAACACTCGCGGAGTCTCGATTATGACACATTTTCATTTTCCATCCCTCAATATTCAATTTATGTCCAAAATAACGGATTAATTAATCGTTAAATTTTTTTTTAAATTTATTCTACCTAAATGTTCATTCTTTAAGAGCAAGAGTATTTGGAAAATTGATGACTGTACGATGGAGTTGCGACTCGCGAGGGAAGCGTTTAGGTACAATTGAATCGTTACCAAAAACTATAGTAATCAATGCAACTATTCAATAATACAATCTATGTATATTATATATTTCCTTCCGCTATTGTTTTGGCTACACAGTATATTCCATATAAAACAAATAAATAAAATTAGTTGAGTGAATTTACAGTCTAAGTACGTTGTCACGTTTCCATTCAAATAATCAGTATCCACTTGATTCATTCAAGAGTATTTCAGCTACAGGATATGCTTTATCGTTAATATGTGCATTGTCAAATTGAGTGTTCGTGACGAGGACGATTACAGCTTTAATCTGTCATTCTGTAAGTAAATAATAAAGGAACCGAATACTGTTCGTGCATTGAACACAAGAGACAGCGGTATTTCACCAATGATGCTCTAAAAACCCATTAAAAATCCTAAAACGAATAAATTGACGAAATAAAAATGTAAAAACAATTATCGAAAAATGGCTAAAAACCACGTGAAAGCTAATGGACAGCGATAAAAATAGTAAAAAAGATGTAAAACCCCTGGAAACCGTTAAAATAACATTTCCACGAGACGAATGTATTTAGTTGCTAAATAATTCTGTAAATGAGCACTTTTCATACATAAAATTTTGAAATAAAAAAACTTCCTTCGAATTTTCCCTCTCATAATCAGTCATCTCTAACAATTTTAATGAAGAAAATTCACAGAAAAATCAATAAAAAAGACTAAGAACTCGGCAATGTTCATGCAATACACAAGTGCCTGAATACAACTGTACAAAAAATGGCATTTTCATAAGTCTCAATCAAGTTAGTCTTATAAATTCCCAATGATAACCACAAGACAAAGACACAATTTTCCCTAATGATTACTGATTAAACATAAAACGAATCCATGTTTTATCAACTAGGCGACATTTCAACTAATAATATTTCAACTGCTAAAGTTGAAATAAAGAACAGACAGATGATATTCGTAGAAAATCTATCCCGAAATTTCTTAAAACGTCAACCATCAAGCAAAATATTCGTGTGTTTACAAATTCGCATAAACAATTACGTCATCCACAGGAAAATCCACACGAAATTAAATTAAATTAATTCAGTCACTCGAAAAACAGTAAATTGTTCACACAATGCCTCTGACATTTATAGAGAGCTCCAGAGGAGCCAAATTATTGGTAGGCGAACAGTTTACTTACCAAAAAATTTGCACAGATTCAGTAAAAAAGACAGGTAGCAAATTGAGATCAAATTTTCAAAAATAAATTGCTAAATAAATTATTAATATTAAATTATGGATCGCCTACAATTGTTAGTAGGAAAAAAATTGAATCTTTGCGTGATATTAATTAATGACGTGGCAGTTGAGTGGTTAAATTGAGCTCGATTACGTTGTTTATTAGAACGTAAAAAATAAAAACAGAAATGAAAATTGAGAAATTTTGGCAAATTCTTGAAAATGTAGTAATTGAGAACAAAAAAAACAGTTGATATGTCGTAGTTAAAATTGACCAGTTGAAATGTCGCTTAGTTAAAAAGACGTGTCACCACATGACTCGATTCTACTATAATTGATACTCATCGAGTCTGAGCGTAAAAAGAAGATCGATCAAACCTCAGATCCATGATAATTCCACCCTAATTACCACCATTGGCAGTAATGAAAATTGCACACAAATTCGGCATACGAGTGAATGCCTACTTTACTATAATTTGTTCATTCTTCAGCCATGGCAGTTATCAATTCCCCTACTATACTTTCGGCACTTGACTCAGTCAATAGACTACTCACTCAATTTAATTATATCGAATGTCATTTTCATTTTACTGTTTCTGTGGGCTGTCCCTTCTACGACTTCTCTTCATATGCAAGTCTCTAGAACGAGACGACCATTTGTCGTGTCTCAGAAAGCCTCGACAAAACTCGCTGGGAAGAGACCAGTACGTCCTGTACGCTGTTGGGTCCCTTTGTACCATCCGTCGTCACGCTTTTTGTGGACATATATTATATCACCGACACGCAATTCCAGCTCGAATTCACTGTTTGGGGGGTACGGGACAATACACCGAAAACGGTTGACGCGTTCTCTGTGGAAAAAGAAATGTTTTAAGATCATTCTATATTCATAGAAAATTATTATTTCTCAATTTGAATAAATTCATAATTTTTTCTTTCTCGTTAACCATCAAAAAATTAAATGTTCAAATGTTTTTTTTTTTCATTGATCATTAGGATAACAAACAATGAACAATTAATAAAATTCTAGAGCATAAATTTTCCAAGCATTATTCTCAGAATCCCTCATCTCCTTAAACCCCAAACCATCTAAATAAACAGCTGTTTCACCCCATCAAACGTCCTCACCTCTCACGAGTAGCTGTCTGCTGTTTACTCTGCTTCCCCATCCCCGCATCGAGTGAATTGCTCTTTCGATGATGATTCCCCGAGACAGCAACAGCACATCCAGCGTCCCCAGACCTGCAAATAAACATCTCCCATTACTCCCCGATCTCTCCCCCAAATCCGCCGACTGATGAGTGAATACAAAGGCCAACAACAGCATGCAGTGCAATCAGAGCAGAAGCTCATGACATACCATTCCACGAATGACACTGGATTAACAAAAAATATCTAAAAGCAGCAGTCGAATGACTAACCTCTGGACAAAGGAAATCGGCAACGACGGCCGTTCCTTGTGCTTAACTCTTTGTGACGCTGTGACACTCCCCTGAACCGTTCCAGGATACACTCGAAGATGATTTGGGGACACTCCGTCCTGGTTGGGTACCACCTGGAGCAACTGACTTGGACAGGACCCCGAACTGATCCCAATTCGGTCATGTTATCATTGCAATACCATTTTTTTACCTATTCTCTCGTATTATTCTTTATCTCGTCACATGTGTTTTGGATTATTGCCAACTACGTTAGTAGTGCATGACGATAAATTATGCAGAACAAAAAATTGGGGGAATTGGGGATAAATGGACCGTTTTTTTAATTTTTCAAGTTTCTTTTTTCATATTTTTTTTTCATCACAAAATCCCGGAGAAAATTTCTCATCTTTTTATAAAATAGAAATGCAAATAAACATTTATGATCTTTTTTCATAAAATTTGTACAAAAAATAGTTGGAAGTTCATTAAAAAAGTTTTTCTATTAAATTTGCTTATACTTATACTTCAATTCACCCAAATTGATCCATTTTACCCCATTCTCCTTGACAAAAACAAAAACACTAACACAAATGCAATGAATCAAAATGCGATGCGAATTAAACGCGTATTAATTGATAAATAAAACGTGTAATGAAGCACAATGCAACATCCTGTGAATTTGAATGAGTCTCACCGAACGTGAACAGTGTCCAAAGAGGTGACAAAATTTCCGTCTTCGAAGACTGGATTGTCCATGGAGTAAGTGGCTGGAGGTGGAGACTTGGATTTCTTGATATTCGTGAGCCTCCTCATCAGGGATACGCCCTTCTCCTTCTTCTCCTTGGTCTGTAACAATTATTGGAGGCGTTAGAGTTGACATTGGTGGAAGAATCGAGGGGATTGATCAGTAACGAGCAGTGACCTTTACTTTTTCATTGGACTTTGTCGGCGCAGCTGCGACAGAGATGTTTGGAGGTGGTGTGATGCCCCCAGTGATCCTCAAGCTGTTCGATGGACTTCGATTGATGTCGGAGGAGGTTGTGGCTGCGGGCGAGGTCGCTGTGGACGGGGGTGACAGCATCGTCTTGCCTGGGGAAGCTGGAAGGATTGATTGAGAATTTTTTATTCAATTTTATCTCATTTAATTTGATTTTTTCTATACAAAATCTTGATTTTATTCTATTTTTCATTGATTTCAATTCGTTCAAGCGTGCAGCCAATTATCTTTCATCAGATTTACAGAGTGAATATAAGGAAAAAAAAATGAGTAAAACATAAAAAAATGAATTTAGAAAGTTTAATCTAAGACATTTCCCAACACCAAATATTTCAACTAAATTAATGGATAAAAGCAATTAAAACTCGACTTTCAACGAGAAAAAAGTTCAAAGTTCTTGATGCCCTCAATCACATTTAATTAAATTATTCATTTTGTTTTGCGACTGCTTAACCCAAAACAGCCTCCCCAACGTCTCCTATCTCCCCCAATCTTCGCACAATCTCCCCTTAAAAAAATGAAAACCTGTCTCACCGACACTAGAAGTCATAACAGCGCTGTGACTCCTCCCCAGTGGATTCCCCTGCTCACTGGCCCTGGGTGGGCTCTGCCCCTGAGCCTGTCCATGCCAAGAAGCGGACACCGCTGGCGAAGGACTGACGGCCCTGGGGGGCAATTCAGGTGGCGGAAGCGACCTGGGGCTGTAAGACTGCTGCGCCCCCTTGCTCTTGGTATAAGTGACAGTCCCCCTAGTGTCCCCAGCACTCTGCACAGTGGTCAGAGTAGCAGTCTGGTGAGTGCTGGTGGGAGTGACCCGACAGATTCCCCTCTGGCACTTGGCAGGTGCCACATAATTCCCCGGGAAAACCCCGCACTTCTGCGTTCTATTCGAAGTCCCCTTGAACCAGCCATCCTGGCACCTCTCGGTGACCATGTAGATCCCCCCCTTCCGCAGCTCGAGTTCGTCCCCCTTCTGAGGTTTGTAAGGGTAAAGAGCGATGTAGGCAGCTGGTAGATTACTGCTGCTGGAGGCTGGCAGACTCGAGGAAGGCTGAGCAAGGACAAGGTCACTGCTACCACTGCGCCGATGCCTGATGTTGTGTTCAGGCCCGGAAGAAGCATTACCTGTAGGAATGAGAGTTATTTTTTACATGCGTCAAGTCAGCCGGAAATTTACCATTTTCTCACAATTTCTGGCTTAACGCATACCTCGTGCTGCAAACTGACCGGTCAACTTGCCCAATTGTCAGTAATTTTTTCCCGTTGTCATATTTTTCATGAATTTCTTTAGAAATTTGAATAAAATTATGAATGACGCCGAAACGGAAATCGAAAGTTTGGTTAATAGTACTTTAGTACGGAATTCCAAATAAAATCAGAAAAGTTTCGTAGCACTTTTCTTATTTATTATTATCGTAGAATCTATAAAGCTAAATTATAGAAAAACAGTCGGATAACATTTTTCATTGGATAAATAATGTCGGAAGTCTTCTCATTTGAGAACTAAATAAAGAACTCTCTCAAACATAATATTTGGAGAGCTCTGGGGTCCAAAGCTCAGCCCAGGGTCGAATTTCGAAGTAAAAAGGTAACATGATGAGCGAGATTTTCTGTGGTCATTTTTGTCACGCGAAATTCCGTCGCATTTTTCTGCCGAAAAATAGTGAGTAATGGGCCTTCGGTCAGTGGCGTGTGATCGACCGGTCAGTTTTGTCCGTTACCCCCCAAATTACCTGTCGTCGAGAAAGCCTCGTTACCGCCTGAGCTGTTGCTCCCCCCATTGGCATCCAGTGGAGGGCTGAGGATCTCAGCTGAATGTCTATGATGGGGATGCTGATGATGCCCAGTGTTCATAGCAGTGAAACTGTGCCTTTTGGCAGTATGACGACTGCCAACAGCTGGTGGTGAGGTAGCAGGGCTGATGGGGCTGCTGGGTGCTGTGCTGGAGCTGCTTGAGGTGCTCGAGCTGTTGGGAGTGTTTGGAGTTGTCGTCGTGGAGCTGCCCCCCGAGGAAACCGTTGAGCTCGAGTCTGAGACTGCCAGAGCCCCTGTCACTGGAGCACTGGGATTATTCTGGCTCGGTGTCTGCACGTTTCTCGTGTGATCCGTGGGGATCAGAGGGGTTGTTTCCTCATTGGTTGGAGTTGGTGGAGCCACTCGAGAGGGTCCCGGCTGGACGTTGGTCGAGAGCTTCATGAGGGCTCGTGCTACGCTGTTCAGCTCGACGAAGGCCAGTGGAAATATTCCTATTCTGTCGAGAAGCTTGCCCTCAGCCCAGTTCTCGTCCACTCTTCTTATCACACTTATCACCTCTCCCTTGTTGAAGGTGAGGCAGCCGTCCTCCTCGTCGTTGGTCATTCGGAAGTCGTAGAGGGCTTTGCACTGGGGCACGTGCGGTGGCAGGGGCGTCATCACCTGGACGTAGGACAGGGGAAAGACCCCGTGATTCGCTCCACACTCCCCGAAATACCAGTTGTTGTCTATCTTCTTTCGCAGAACAACGATTTCCCCCTTCTTGAAGCTCAAGTCACCGGGGACTTTGGAGATGTAGTCGTAGATGGCACGACCGTAAGGCTGATTGTGCAGGTGTACCTGCTTGGCTGAGGCATTGGCGTGGCGTGCTGGGTCGACAGCCAGGACTATTGGCGATGGATTTGTCGGGACTGGGGCTGGTGTCACCTGGTGACCACCGAACAGACGCTGAGGGGTGCTCAGTGCCCTTGTGTGGGGCTTGCCACTCTTCGGGGTGGCGTTCCTCATACCCTCCAGGATTCTCATCAGGAGGACGTTTGGGGGGAGGTCGTCCACCTTCACGTCCACCAGCACTCGACACTCTGGACATCTCAGCTCGCGGTGCGTGCTCACTATCTCCTCCAGACACTTCTTGCAGAAGGTGTGCTGGCAGGGGAGAACCTTGCTGGAGGTGTCCAATCTCTCGAGGCAGACCGAACACTCCAGCAGGTCGTTCAACATGCACTCGTCCATATTTTCTGGTTTATTGTCGGTTGGTTTTTTTTTGGAGGGAAGGGTGGGGAACAGCTAGTTCACTTGCATTTTTTTATGGTTCAGTGGAGATTTGGGCTCTTATGACACTACACTGTTGGAATTTTCTTAATTTTAGTGGTACACTGAGAATAGTTGAAGTTTTCTCACTCATTTTAATGAAGATACGTTAATTAAGACACTTGCACTCACGTCGTTTTACCTCACACGAGTTCCTCGAGCCACAATTGTGAATGCACTATCCTTGGAGATTTGGGGTGCTCTTATGACACTACACTGTTGAATTTTTTTTAACGTTAGCGGTACACTGAGAAAATAAATGAGTTGTTGAGTGAATTTATCTCTCATTTTGGACATTTGCAGCAAGTACATTCGTTTGGGATTAATTTTTTTCTCTGTGCAACTGCATTTGCAATTCACATCAAATAGTTCATCAAATAGTTGAAGTTTTCTCACTCATTTTAATGAAGATACGTTAATTAAGACACTTGCACTCACGTCGTTTTACCTCGCACGAGTTCCCTCGGACCACAATAGTGAATGCACTATCACTCAATTCACTTTCGCTACATGAGGGCGGTCGTTAAACTCGTAAGAATAAGGAATTCTGTTATCCACGAGTTGCGAGTGACACTTGCACCAGTTGTTGGGCCCTGTTCTCTCATTTTTCCTCACCCCAGGGCTGATTTCGGGGGCAGGTGGACGTTAATTCCCCCGGTAAATCGGTCACCACTGAAAGTGAGCAACGGATGGGAGAAAACGCCTTGTTTGCTCGTGTGTGTGTGTGTCACCGCTGAGAATGCACTAAACTCACTGACAATTTATCTATGAAGTCTCGATTACTGGAGAGACTCACATTTCCCAGAAAATCGGCGATACTGATTGGAGTTGGCGTCCTATTCCCACGTGTTCCAGTGCAAAAACTGACGTCATTATCGAATCTTTGCCAACGAGCGACCGTTCACGTACATGATTCTCGGGGAATCAATCACGCTCCGCCATTTCCGGCCCCGTGTGATCGTTTTTTTAACATTCCCCACTCCTCTGTTTGCTGGGTTTTAAACCTGGTTGTGAGCACGCATGGGGCATTGGGGGCGCCTAGGGGGGCTCTCATTGGCCCGTGGGGAGGGTGAGGATTTACAATCGTCGGCGGAGGGCATCGATCGAGGCGGCGCTTGGAATTTGAAGTGTTGACGAATTCACGGGTGACTAATTTCCATTGAAAAACGTAAAGACAAACAAAATTGTATTGAAATTCGCTAGAAAATTCCATTTGATTTCGGTGGGACTTTCTGTTAGGTTTTTTTTTCAATTGAGATGTTCAATAGGAAATATTCTACAGGAAAAATCAGTAGAATTCGATATTTTCTATAAAATTCCTCGGCTGCAATTTCATAATTTTTTGCGAGGAAAAACAGTAGTTCAATTTTTTTTTTATTGGTGGAATTATTCTGGAATTCTCATTATTCGAAACAGGAGAGTATCACAAACCCAAGTTATCAGCATAAAATATCCTTTGTACCAATTCGAGGTTTACAATTAGTCATCAGTCTTGGTGAAGATGAAAAAAGAAACTTTGGATTTGGGAGATGTCTCAAAGCCTAAGGGAGATAAGGAAAATTTTCCAGGGACCATTCTCGTAGAACCAAGTGGGAGAAGTATTATCGTAATGACCGATCTCCCTTGGTTTCGGAGATACTCATCAAAAACTCCTCCGTCAATCCAATACGGAAGTGCTGAAACGAGATAAATCACCTTCGAGGTAAGTTTTTGTGAATGAGCGGAGTAATCTCTATGGACTTTTCTTGTAGTTTTCATATCGCTCTTGAAGGATTTTATCTAATACTGTTCCCATCGCCCTTGGAATCACAGATATTCACCAAAAGCTTATTTAAGTTGAGTTTCTCATTTTATCACTTCGCTACTGAGTTATTGGCGAATATATTTTCTCAAGATTCTGAAATATTTATATCATAAACTCAATCCATTGAGTGATTGTGCTGTTTTTTCAATAGAACAGAATTAGATTTTTCTGGAGGAACTCCTGCCCAAATTTTCTAAGGTTTTTGTGTGATTTTTCACAAATGCGAAGAGAAAAAAAAAATCACAAAATCACAAAATTCATGTCGAGAAATTCCTGCAGAAAAGACCTCAGTCGAAAAAATGGTAAAGACGATTTTTTCTATTAAATTGACCTGCCGAATGGTTGACCAGAACCATTCCAAAACCATAATCTTCTACCCAATCCACTAGATTTCGTCATGTATTGTCCAACATGCCCAACAAACCTTTTCAAATTCCAATGACGTCGTTCCAGTGGAACTAGCCATAACGATTGGAGGGGCTAGTCCACCGAGTCTCCCCCGCGGCCCACGAGAGGGCGAAAACTCCTCAAGACCCCTCTGCCCTCCAGTCGCGCAACCGCGATTGGAGGGGCACACGCGTCCACGTAATTCCGTGCGAAGAGGGGGCACACCCCCCGTATCAAAGCGCCAACCGAACAACTCCGGTACTTCCGTCAGTTCGCCTGCTCCCCCGGGGTAATTGTTAGTGCGGCAAAAAAGGAAATAATATTCAGGAGAGGGAAATAAAATTGTGTGGTATTCAAAGGCACTGATATACGTATTCGTGATACCCAAGTGACCAAGTGGTGAGGCCCAACCGCCAGCAGTGCGCCTGTAGCTAGATAAAAGCGAGCGACTCGAGGCCGCGCCAGTGTGAAATCACCGAAGGTCGAGGGTTGGTGGTGTTTCAGTGGTATGATCATTGTTACGTGCCTCTAGTTCCAAAAAAGGGAGGAATAATTAATAAGAGTATTGAACACCAGTGAGTGACCAACGGTGAATAAAATTGTCACGTCTCAGTCCATGTGCTCCGACAACTGAAGATGCTCATCAAGGAATAGTGAGTGAATCATCTACGTTTACTTTTTTTCAGTCGTGTCTTATGCCAGTGTTATCTTATCGGGGGGTTTAGGGGAACGAGGGAGACGCGTGACTACTGCATGCCCCGGATTTGTGACTTGATTTATCCGTTTTGTGGGGGTCGTGGGCTCCCTAGGGCGCCCTGTGGACGAGCCTCGGGGGCTCGACTCGTTGACGCCTGACCTCGAATTACTTTGGGCATTTTTGTCCCTTCGATTTGACTGCGGGCCGCTGTTTTGACGGATCGATGACGTTTTCTTTTGCCTCTGGGGGGTCTTGAGGTGGCATGTGGGCGGGCGAAACTTTGTGACATCCGGTCGAATTTAATTGTCTCGGTGCGCTATCGATTTTTCGGTTTACTTGACAATTGGCCGCTGCAACATGGCATCTGCCAACGTGACACGCGTTGTTTTCTTCGGAATGATTGATTCCTCATTTTTTTTCCAGACTCGTTTGATTGAAATGTCAGGGCAATCGTCGATGGGGGATTTTTCGGGGGAGATGAGCCTCGTGGGCTCAATTTTATCCGAAGACTTCCGGTTATAGACTTACGGGCTTCTTTGACATGTTTTAATAATCCTGTCATATTTTTTTATGTTACAGCCGCGTCACCCTGCCACTCAACGTCGAAGAGGTACGTCAGAGCTCTCTTGTGGCTCTAATACTATTTTCTTGGATTCTTTTTTGTTATTCAGGTGATATTAAATCACAGGGGGGAAGGGCTTATTAGAGCACGTACGTGACGATGCATTTATTGGGCTCAGCAATTTCAGATGATTCGGGGGATTGTGGAATATGCGGGTTGAGGGTATGATTGAGTGTCAAGTTGTTGCTGGGTAATTTTGGGGTTTAGGAATTTCTGTCATTGAGGGTAATTGGGGGGCATTTTTATGAGTTTTTGTTGTTTCATTGTGGTGACAATGCACGTACGAAAAAATTTCACAGGAACATTTTAGCGAGTGGGATAGAAAATTTGATTGTTTGCAAAATGTCATTTAAAGGGTCTTTATTAATAGGGAATTTCTTAGAATTATTTGCTTTTTTCGTATGAAATTATACAAGGTACCAAAAGGAAATGAGATATTCTAGAGAATATCATAAATTGGAGCAATAATTAAAAAGTCCATTTTTTAAGGATGAGAATGGCTCAATTACCGAAAAAACACATTTTTCCAAATTACGAGTTCCTCTCATGAATAATTTATAAAAGGTCGATTGTCCACTCCAAAAACAATTTTGTCCTCATCCTAAACGATTAAACAATTGAAAATTTCGATTATATCTTCAAGAGCTGAAGTAAAACTAATTTTTACAAAATGGAATTTTAACAGCGTAAAGTATGAATGAATGAATATTTCCACGCGTTGCTTCCGCAATTTCATACCGAAATCCAACGATTTGTAATTTCCAAAAAAGTCAAAAGTTTCAAAAGTGCATTTCGATACTCCCAATGAAATTCCAACGAATTTACGAGAGTATGAATGAAATGCGAAATGAGAGGGGTAAATAACTCAGTAAAAATGTAAATGCAAGCTACTGCATATTGCCCTGCCTCGATTTTTGATCCAGAGTCATTAGTACCTCATTGAGTAACCATAGTGCAGTAATTGGTGCAGCCAGCGTTGTCAATCAGCAATAGCCATAAGAACGAATTCGTTATCCCAATGAGGATGTTCCAGGGAAATAAATGGGTCATTAATGATTTTTATTCCTTCTGTAATGCAGTACCAAGTGGCTCAACTGTACTCCGTGGCGGAGGCGAGTAAAAATAACACAGGTGGTGGTGAAGGCATCGAAGTATTGAAAAATGAGCCATTCACGGATACTCCACTGCTAGGTGGTAAATATTCGTCTGGACAGTATACATACAAGATATATCATCTTGCTAGCAAAGTACCAGCTTTTATTCGACTATTATTACCAAAGAGCTCGTTGGAGATACATGAGGAGGCATGGAACGCCTATCCATACTGCAAGACAGTCATAACTGTGAGTTGAAAGGACTATTTGTGTGGAGAAGTGACAACAGAGTAGAATAAGTCGATTGTTCATGTCTTGACGGATATTGATGCCGAGGGGATTCAGGAGGGAAAATCTCGGGGAGATTTTTTTGGGAATCACAAAAAAATTGATTTTTTTTTACATTTGGAAATTGTTCGGGCAGAAGATGAGACGAAAAACAAAAATGTTGAATTGTCTCATTGTTGTAAAAATTGTTAGAAAACATTCTTGTTGGACATATTGTCAGCTTCAAAAAGTTATCGTAACATTTTCCCCTGAAGTCACTGTGTAAAAGTATAAATGCCCGAGAAAAAAGTCTAATTGACTAATTATTGAGAAGATTGCAGATTCAATTTTGCATCGTTCTAAAAATGCAATTATCTCAATGAGGAATCATTCCAGTGATCACCCACTTAACGAGATAAATGGAGAATTAAAGTCACTTCGCCACTGTCCAATACTTCTCTTCAATCCTCTTCTAATCGAATTAATTCCCCTCTTTAGAATCCTGGATACATGAAGGATAATTTCGTCATCATGATTGAGTCCTTCCACATCGCTGACAAGGGAAACCAGCAGAATGTAAGAACAATAGTAAACTCGAACTGTTTTTGCATTTCATCATCTGCATTATCAAATAAATTATCGTTGATTGACCCCAGGTACATGAACTGTCAGCTGATAAACTTAAAATGCGAGAGGTGATACACATAGACATAGCCAATGATCCAATAGCAAGCGCTGATTACAAAGAGGACGAGGATCCAACGAAATTCAAGTCCCAAAAAACTAATCGTGGTCCGCTGGTCGGACCAAAGTGGAAAGACAATGTTGACCCCGTTATGACGTGCTACAAACTCGTAACATGTGAATTCAAGTGGTTTGGACTGCAGACACGTGTGGAGAGCTTCATCCAGAAGGCTGAGAGACGTTTATTCACCAATTTTCATCGACAGGTGTTCTGTTGGATTGACCGCTGGTATGGTCTCACAATGGAGGATATCAGGGCGCTCGAGGACAATACTAAGGAGGAACTCGATAGGGTGAGACATTTATCAGTGTTTACTGTGATAAAAGGGGAGGCCTTGACATCGTTTCGTATTTTTGGAGGAAATTTTTATCTCAATTTCTAATCTCAGACGCTAATAATAATTCTACTTTTGGACGTTTGTTTACTTTTATATCAGCTTTGATATGATGAAAGGTAATGGGTCTTCGTATTTCGTTCAGTGCTCCATTCGGCGCGAGAAAATTTTACTTTTTTGTTCAATTTTTTAATCTCAGACTTGAGTTGCCCCTCAGTTGAACGTTTGTTTACATTCTTATCGGTTTTGATGATATGATGAATGTTAATGAGTGAAGTTCGTATTTTATTCTGCTACTTATTTATGGGAGAACATGCAGACAAATTAACTTGTTTTTTGATTGGACTTTTTAATCTCACATTAATTATTCGACATTTAAATGTTTGTTTACTCTATGAGTTTTTATATGATGTAAGTTAATGAGCCAATTTCATATTTTCTTTAGTTTATCATTTACGGTGAGGTGAAGGAATTTTAGGGGAAAATATGAGCAAAAAAATGTTTGTAAAGATGAAAATTTTACCCAAAAAAATCTTTAAAAGAAAATTTTTGAGAAAAATTGACCTTTCCTCCTGTTTTATCACTTTGACATTGACATATTCACATAGCTGACATTATTAAACATCAATAATACTAAAATACACGATATTTTTCCAGCAAAGACACGAGGGAGAAGTGCGAGGCATGCGAGCAGACGATTGAGGCTGCTGTCGAGGCATCTAGATACTATTAAAAATTGCGTTAAAAATAATTCTCCCCTACACCCACCCCGAGGACTACGAAGAACACAATTAACTGAATAACAAAAAAAAATCTCAATAAATATTAAACAACCCCCCTCCATTGCCAGAAGCAAGACAGTCTCAGCAGAATATCTTCTGTCTTAGATTCAGTGTCTATTTCAATTACTTACGAATTTATAATTTATTTTACAATTTACTAAAATTGAATGGGAATTAAAAACAATTTGAAAAGCGTTTTAGATTAATGTACCCTAGCAATCAATTGAATTCAACTTGTATTATCGTGTAACGTGGGAGATTGAGAATATTGTGGGGTCAATATTCAATGGTATTGAATCAGATTTGAATAGTTTGACAAAATAAACACGTGATGAGAGATAAAATGAATTCCACACTGAGAAAATATTTAAAATTATAGATAATTGACTGTAACGATTAATTCATAGTCTTTCAGGTAATTAATTAAATATTAAAGTTCATTAATTGGCATAATCAGGCCTGTAATAAAGGAGTGCTTGTTGTGACTAGTGAGCAAATAATAAATGGAGACAGACGAAAAAAATTGTGTGACAGAGAGGAACAGTTTATTTAGACCAACTATTCGTGTTGCCATTTTGTTTGAAAAGGTTGAGAGATAAATAGTGAATGATTACTTCGTCAATTGCTTCAATGATGCAACTATAAATGTAGCAATTGGAATATTTATTTTCTAAAAACAGTGCTCGAATGAATTAAATTTAATTAAGCATGGTCTAATTTTGTTCAACGTACACAGCATATTTTCCCCAGCCTCATGAGTCGTTTTGGGATGAAAATAGAAGGAAATTCAATGGTCAATCGATAATATTCCGGAGTAATGGAGTACACAGTCATGAGTTATTTTCATAATATTAATTAAGAATTCTGTGTTCGTTGATACGACAGGAGGTACGACATGCTGGGAATATGAAAGTAATTAACACGTTGAATGAAAAATTATACATGAAACATTAATTAGTCAGTCTCGCGCTGTGTCAATAACAATAAATCAATTAACACTTTGATGATGTTCGATTTAGTATCGATTCTAACGGAAAAACAATAAAATGAGTAAATTGATATTTTAACCCTCTTTTTTCGTGAATGTTTTCAATTCGCGAGTTGCGAATTACTTTTGAGGGAGCTTTAGTGGGAGGGGTTTAGGGGTGGAGTGAAGAAGATGATTAATAGAAAAACGTGTGATTTTTCTACGAAATTCTATTGAAATTCTGTGAACAGTTCGATTCGTGTTTGTTACGGAATTTAATTCGGATGGTTTGATATTAATTTTTTTACTTGAGTTATATACTGATTTCCAATATACCAAGACTTTGAATAATTAAAATATATCGCGTAGATTCGACAAAAATTGTTGTAAAAATTTGTCAATTTGTTTAAAAACATCTCCACTCCTGACTTAACCCATGAATAATAAAAAAGCTCTTCAACGTTACAATAATCATCGAGTGCCGAGGCTACTTTACCGTATTCCTGGTTGTTTCTCAGTCTACCATTAAAAATAAAACGTGAATAAAAACCCAAGAAAACGATTATAAAAAAACAAATGTATTATTCTATAAATGTAAATGAAGAATTTTGCGTATGCGTGAGTCACTAGCGAACGCACGTATTATGTAGCATGAGACAAAAAAAGTGGAAAAAAAACGGAAAAACATTGAGAAGTTCTAGCTATTAAAAATTAGGTCGAGGGTTGCGGGGCGTCGTTGTACATAATTTATTGTGGCATACAATGAAATTCAAGGTGGGATGGAAATGACGCTTGGATTAGCTTCGCTTGCATTCCGAACGGGAGAGTACTTGATACGATTCACCACGGGTAATCACGTGTGAAAAAGTTTAATAGAAAAACTAGCAATTTCTCGGGGAAATTCCACTGAATTTCTGCTGGAGCTCCACAATAATTCTATTACAATTCAATTAAAAATCATGCAACTCTCTTACTTGTGTTTCCAATGGGTATTTTTTTTCATAAAAAAAATTCGATAGATGTTGATTTTCCTATGAGGATTTTCGGGGAATTTATTATGAGAAACGAATAAAAACTGTTCAAGAATTTTCTACAGAAATATCAAAATCTCTGGACTTTTTAATAGAATTTATTCAATAAAATTTCAACAGAAAAATGAAAAAATCAATAAAAATACAGGAGAAAAAAGTCAGAAACTCCTCGCAAAAAGTGCTAGATTCTTCTATTGAATTTTCATACCTGCAACACCTACCAGAAACATGAAAAGATCTCAAAAAACTTACAATATAAATTAATTCGTAACTAATTAGTCACCCCAGAGTCCTGGCGACTCGAGCAATAGAGAGATCAATTAGTGCAGATCTTAGAGTCCAACCGGTCTAATGTTAAACCACATTAGTTGTAGAACGAGTGATACAGACCATTAAATAATGAAGCAATAGTATAAGTGCACATATGTACACGATCATTAGATCCGGTTTAATTGTCGTTTGCACAAAGAAACATAAGATAAATGGAAGATAAAGGAAACATAACGAATGAAACGTGTAACAGGTACCTTCCCAGATGGTAGAATCAGTTTAATTAAGTCAGTGCTATATGATTTCAATTGATGAAATAATTTAACAAACTTTTCTTTACGAGGGAAAAATAGTCAAGGAGTTGGATGGATGAACAATGTTCAAGAATGATTTAATTCTCTCGAGCCAATGAGTGTAGAAATTGAAAAAAATTAGAGCAAAAACATGAATTAATGTTGTTAAATGAATGGCGATCGTTTTCTCTAGAATTGAATTTCACTGTGGCCGGTATGTTCTAATTACCAATGTCCTAAAATTATTGGATTTTTGTGGATAGATAATTTAGAAAATTTGTTTCTGAGAAAGTAATAGACGAGAAAATCCAGCGACAAATTGAATAACATAAGGTTCAAAAGAATGATGAGATGAAAAATAATAACGCTGCCAAAAGGCCGATGATAAATTAAACGTTTAAATGGAGAAAACCAATTTAAAACGGATTAACTAGAGTCTCGCGTATGAATATGTATGTATATATTTATATATATGTATGTATACGTATTTAAGCTGAAGAGTAATGAGAGAAGTGAGATAATTATATAGGCTACAATGTCAGACGTGAGGTGGTCGTGAGAATAATAAAACGAAGAATATACAGCGTATAAAGGTTTATTGATTTGTTTTAAAAATAATGGACCAATGCTTTCGCTTGATCCAGCCATCCTGTACAATTTTTATGACTCAGTTCAGTTGGGGGATTACGTTGAACTCGAGGAAGTGATTGATATTCGGGATTCAGTGCAGATGCGGCTAAAATAGAAGAGAATAGAGCAGTTCAATTTTTCTATCGCTTAATGAATATTTCGTTAGAGCTCTCCGGGAATTTTTTTTTAATTTTCATAAATTGTGTAAAATTAATTAATTAATTAATTATGAGTTAAAGACGAAATATTATGACGTCATGATGCAGATTTTTTCAGTTGACTGTAACTTCAGTTTTTCATTTTTCGAAGTAAAAAATACTTATCTTTTTGTTCCGATTTTGGTATTTGATCGTGTTGATCTTCAATACTGTATTCACTGTTTTGTCTCTATTCTGTCTAAAGTCGTTCTAAGAACGACTAGTTCTCGAGTTGAGTGCACAAGCAAAAGGAAAAAATTTTCTCACACGGGTTTTTAGACATTTTGCCTTGAAACTACTCATTACCGAGATGACTGAAAAAATAATGAATCGCAAAATGACTCAATTGGAATAAAAATCCCTCCATTAACCGTTAATTATAGGCTCATCTCAGTAATAAGAGGTTCGAGGAAAAAAATGGGCTCGATATTTTACCGCATCGTCACTGAATTAGAAAAAACACGTATGAAAAAAAATCATCGCAACCCCGGGCTTTCTCTCGGATATTCTATTCTATCTCTTCGAACTCGAGTTTTTCCAAATTATTCAACAAAATTATAAAAAACATCAAAAAATTCAATAGATTTCGATTCCCTCAATTTCCAAGTGTTTTCGCTGCATGTAAAAAAATTTTAATCACAAAATGCAAGAATGAAAGACTTCACGTCCAGCAATTCTCAGCGAATAAACCTCAGAAAAATAGATTGATCAGAGAAATCAACACCCATTGACTCAATTTCCCTCGTGATACAACAAAAATTCCGCGAGAAAGCGCTAATTCTTCCTAAAAAAATCAGAAATTCCCCTCAAAAAACTCTCTAAAACGCCCCTCCCCGCCAGCAACCTCATCAACTGTACTCCTTGATGATGCTGCCTGCGATAACCAGCCTCTGAATCTCCGAAGTCCCCTCATAAATCTCTGTAATCCTGGCATCCCTGTAGTACCGTTCAGCGGGCATATCTGAGACATAGCCCATGCCCCCCAGGACCTGAATAGCCTGATGTGAGCAAAATGTGGCTGCCTCCGAGGCGCTGAGTTTGGCCATAGCAGCCTCCTTGGTGAAGGCTTTGCCATTATCCTTGAGATAGGCTGCGCGCCAGATGAGCAGTCTCGCGGACTCTATTTTCAAGGCCATATCAGCGATCTTCTGCTGAATGGCCTGGAGTTTGTTGATGGGGCTGCCAAAGGCCGTGCGTTTCGCCGCGTATTCGACAGCGCACTCCAGGGAAGCCTGAGCGATGCCAAGTGCCTGACTGGCGACTCCAATTCTCCCAGCGTCCAGGGTCATCATGGCTATCTTGAAGCCCATCCCCGGCTCCCCGAGAATGTTTTTGGAGGGTATGAGGGCATCCTCGAACATCAGGGGACACGTGCTGCTGGCTCTGATGCCCATTTTGTCCTCTTTCTTGCCGACCTCGAGGCCCTGAGTCGGCGAGTCCACCAGGAAAGCGCTGATCCCCTTGTGCTTCTTCGATTTGTCGGTCGTTGCGAACAGAACGATCGCCTCTGCCTCGTGGCCATTCGTGATCCAGGACTTTGTGCCGTTGATCCTGAATGTCTCCCCCTCGAGTTTGGCCGTGGTGGAGGCCGCCCCGGCGTCGGAACCGTTGCCAGGCTCGCTCAGGGCGAAGCAGCCGACCCTCGAACCGTCCGTGAAAGGCCGCATGTATTTCTCCTTCTGCTCGGGACTCCCGAACTTCTCGATTGGCCCGAGGTACAGGGAGTTGTTGACACTCATTATCACTCCGGTGGAGGCACAGCCTCTCGCGATCTCCTCCAGGGCGATGGCGTAGGCCAGGTAGTCCAGGCCCGTTCCGCCGAGGTCTTCTGGGGTTGATATCGCCATCAGACCCAGCTCACCCATTTTTTTCACCTGCTCCACTGGGTACCTGTGCTCTTTGTCCAGCTTTGCTGCTATTGGCTTTAGTTCGCCCTCGCTGAAATCTCTGGAATTGCGAATTGGGGTGACGATCGGGGAATTCGAGTACGAACGATTTTTAGGGATAGTTGTATTCGTAAATTATAATTACTGTAAAATTTTGAGGGAGTCAATTCGTTAATGTCAATGTGAAAATTTTAAGTATTAAAGTAATCAGCAATTTAAATAGTCAAATTCCGAGTTATTTTTATTGATCAATGGTTCGAGTAATAATCAATAATCAGTAACAGCCGTATTCATAAATTATAATCGTCGTGGAATTTTGAAGGAGTCAATTCGTTAATATCAATGTGAAAATTTTAATTATTGAAGTAATCAGCAATTTAAATAGTCAAATTCCGAGTTATTTTTATTGATCAATGGTTCGAGTAATAATCAATAATCAGTAACAGCCGTATTCATAAATTATAATCGTCGTGGAATTTTGAAGGAGTCAATTCGTTAATATCAATGTGAAAATTTTAATTATTGAAGTAATCAGCAATTTAAATAGTCAAATTCCGAGTTATTTTTATTAATCAATGGTTCGAGTAATAATCAATAATCAGTAACAGCCGTATTCATAAATTATAATTATCGTGAAATTTTGAAGGAGTCAATTCGTTAATATCAATGTTAAAATTTTAATTATTGAAGTAATCAGCAATTTAAATAGTCAAATTCCGAATTATTTTATTAATCAATAATTCAGGGGGAAGATTATTTGGTTATTTGGTTAATCGAAAATCCCTCTCATGAAATTTAGTGTTAATAAATACTTAATGGGTAATTTTCTGGAAGAAATTAATAGAATTTGATTTTTTGAGACAAATTCATGACATTTCAGAGTAGTTCACGCGATATGATCCCATGAAAAAATTAATCATTCAATTCATTAAAAAAGCGAGTCTAGTCAATTCATTTTTTGCTTGTCTAGGCAAATGCAATCAATGACATGTGACCTTCTCATATATTATCTGTTCATCGTACTGAAGAATAATGGATAAAAAGGCAGAACTTTTTTTTTACCTTGATGAATATAAAAAAAAATTCTCTCAACAGTTTCCTTTGAAATTTGAAAAATTCCATTTTCAACTGGAATTTGGAAAATTTACTTCTCCTGCTATGATTTTCTACACGTCATTACAGAGTCAATCCCTGTGTTTCCAAAATCCTCTATAATATTCCAATGAAAAAAATTTATCGGATTTAATTCAACATTTTCGTTAATTAATTTTACAAAAACATACTTGGCAAATGCATTCCCTAGAAGAATGCAATTAGTAATATGTAACCTTCTCGTTAATTATCCGTTCATCTTACTGAAGAATAATCAATAAAAAATGCCAAACTCTTTTTCTTCCCTTGAAATCAAGAAAATTCAATTTTCCATTATAATTATGATAAATTGGCTTCTTCTGTTATGATCTTCACACGTCACTACAGAATCAATTCCGGTGTCGATTCCCCCAAATTCCAGATCAGAGAAAAAATGTTACCTCACGGTTTTATAAAGCATCTGATGTGTTTCGGGGAGAGACGCCAACGAGGCGATGGCCCTCGCGCCCGGATGAAGTTTATTCGCAACTTTGAAGAGATCTAAAAAGATAATCAATTAATTACGTACAGTTGGATCACTCACAACTGCTAATTGGGATTATGAAAGTATTCCGAAGTAATTACCGAAAAGTTTCAAACAGCTCATCTTGAATTTTATTTAAAAACCTTTAGCTTCTGAGGACTTTAGGAAATTTCTACACAGAGTAAATGTTTTCGACCTCTTCGAGCTCAACTGCAGCAACAACTCAATTATCTTGTTTTTCTTTGTTGCCGCGGGCACTCGCATGTGCGACATTAGGTTCCAAAGATCAAATTCTCCACAAGCAACTCCCTCGGACAGTGATTCCGCGAATTCCCCGGGTTTTCGTTGCGAATGTGTTCCATCAGATGACGGGACATTTAAACTCTGAGCCGCTGACGTCAGCGGGTCAATACCTGCGTGGAGGCGCGTTGATTTCGAACCGCGCAGGACCGCGAGGGACAGTAGCTGTTCGATAAAAAAGGGGAAGTCAGTCGATGCGAGATTGGGGCGCGTTGAATCTCTCGTTGGCGATTTTAATTGATAACTGGAGATTGCAGAGTGAAATGTCGGGGTCTAAATGCGTTAAACCGCCGAGGAAGGCGTACACCAAGGAACCGAACGAAATGACTCATCAGGAGAAATTGAAACTCATTGATGAAGAATTGAATTCATTTTACAAGTAAGCACGCGTGAAAAAATTTAATAGGAAAACCAAGCGAATTTGTTAAAAAATTGTATTGGATTTCTAGTGAAAGGTTCAATAGGAAATATTCTATAGAAAAAGTCAATAGAATTCGATTTTTTTATACAACTTATTCTATTGAGATATTTCCTACTGAATTTCCTTGGCTCAAATTTTTCAAGTTTTTTTGTTTGACTTTTTTTTATAGAGGGGAAGAAAACAGAGTGAAAACAGTTTAGAAAATTAATGTCAAGGAATTGGTGTAGAAAATTTTCCATAGAAGTTTAATACAAATTCACCAGAATTTTCTATCGAATTTGCAAAGTCGTTAATAAAATTTTTGAGTGTCCGTGTTTTTTTTTTGGAAATTCTCTGCGCCGTTTAAACAAAATTGTACAGTAGAAAATATTTTACAAAAAAAATAGATTTCTGTTCTTTAAATTAAATTTCTATAAATGAAATGTTTTTTAAAATTATTAGTGGCTAATTAAATTGAATTGTGAGGCTCCAATTATCCGCGTTTTTTACTTCATTTTTTTTCAATGAATAAATCAAACAAATAAATGAAAAAAAGACATGATAGAAAAACTTGGGGCTTGCGTTTCCCTCGCTAAAGGTACTGTCAGCAAGCGGGCTTCACCGAAGAAGAGATGGACGTAATCTGCCAGCCGCTGGTGGCAGCAATGCGGCGATCCTGGCTGCAGCTGGTCCTCCGTGCGACTGTCATTCTCGTCGTCATTGGAACCGTCGCCTGTGCGGCAGCCCAGCTCGACTTCGTCGGCACCCACTTGTCCGCAATAACCCGTGTTCTCGCGGTGAAGATCCTTCCCTTCTGGAACTGGCAGCATCTCTACCGCGAGAACTGCATGATGAACAATCCGTTCTACAACGAATACCCCATTACAGAGGAGGATTGCGTCGTAAGATATACAGTTAATTGTTTCAATTGTCAATGCATGGATGAAAAAATACCGGGGAAAATCATAGAGAATTGTTTTAAAAATCCAGTGGAAACCAGTGGAACAAAAGGAGTAGATTACGACTCTTTCGAAAACTCTATTTATTGATTTCAATTTTCGGATTTTTTTCTGTCGATTTTTAACGAGAGAAAACACAAGTACGAAGAAAAAATTTAATAGAAAAACTATTTTAATAGAGTTCTATTGAAATTCTATTAGAATTCTGTTGAGAATTTTAAATAGTTATTCTATAGAAAAAAACCAACAGATTTCCGTTTTTCCGAGTGAATTATTCTTTTGAGATTTTTTCTGTAAAAAATGTTGCGCATGAATTCTCTTAGAATTCTAAGGGAAAAAAAAACAGAATACATGTCTAAAAATACAGATGGATTCCTGAAAACTCAGACTTATTTCTCCTTGCGTGCACAATTTCTGTAGTGAAGTGGATCAGTGCAATTTTTTTTCATTTTTAATTTTTTTAATCGAAAGTTCCCAACTCTCCTGAAGAAGTTCAATTTTTGCATTTATCCTAGTTTAACCCTCCGCTGCAGATTTGATACATAAAATTATTATCTCATTTAATTATTCTCTGTTAAATTTTCTAAAAGAATCAAGAGAAAAATTATAATAATAAAATATCTCCAACTAGGATTTTCCCTCGAATTTCCCCCGCGCATCATTGGCTGAACCCCAATTAATTTCAGACTTGTGAGGCCGTTGAAACAATAGATCGCCTCTCGGACGTCCACTACCGTCAGCTAGTCGACAATTACCTGAGCCGCGACGCTCCCGCCATAATCACCGACGCCATGGACTCCTGGGCTGTCATGAATACCGACTATTTCTGGTTTGATAATATAACTCATGTAAGAATTTTTCAAAACGTCCCTCGAATACTCCCCGGGGGATCACCTTCTATCCTCTCAATTCGCAGCTCTACCTGGGTAACGAGCGCCTGATGGAGACTGTCCCTTGCTCATTGACATCGAACCTGCGCACCGGCTCCTCGGATCTCGCCGCTTTCCTCCGTCGCGTCCACTCCCCCGAAGTCGCCAAGTGGTTCGTCCACTGGCAGAACTGCGACATTAACGCGGTCAAGGCCCTGAGGAAGTACTATCAGCGCCCTTATTTCCTGTCGAGCACTGTTTCACCGGCGCACTTCAACTGGGTACTCATGTCCTCGGATTACAACAGTCCGAGTTATAAGAAAGTGGAGCTTGATTCGGGTCTCATTGCTCTGGCGCAGTTGCGCGGGGCCACGCAGTTGAGACTCATCCCTATCAATCCGTGCAATAGCTCTTGTCCTGAGCTAATTGCGGATCTCCATCGAGGGGAGATGTGTGAGTTCACTGGGACAATATTTTTTATTTCTTAATTTTAACTGTGTAGATGATTTTCTTCTCAACTTCTCCAGGCCGTAACGACCATCAATGCGGGTTAAGTGAAGTCATTTAAATGAAGAAAATATTTTATGCTTTCGTTATTCTGTTTTAATTATAAAATTCCAAAAATCAAGCATTTTGATTAATTAAATTATGAGGACAGAATTTTATGTAGTGATGATTGAGAGGAGTTGATTATTCTATGAATAATCGAATCATAATGAAATGGTTAAAATAATACAATGAATAATATTCGGTGAATAGTCATTATGAAATGTTTTCAAAAATAAATCAAATGACAAATTATCATTCATTGACTGAGGGTTAAGGGAGAATATTCATACAAACAAATAGGAGACGTTAATCCACGATTAGTGCATTTTCACGCATAAACAAAATTTTATGGAGAATCGTCGGTTCTTTAACTTGTTTATTCATATTATTTGTTGATATTCTTTTATTTGTGTTGTCTTTAAAATGATTTTTCCTCTAAAATCCTTTGTATTGGAAATTTTGTATAAAAAAAAAATACTCAGTTAATCATCGAAATTCTTCAGTAAAAATCAAATCGGATTTTTTTCCATGAAATTTTTCCATCGGTGTAATCAATAGCATAATGGCATTAATTCGATGGAACTAATTCATTTTTTCAATTGCCTCCGCCAGTGGTTTTCACCAACCTCATGTGGAATTTGGAATACGCTCCTATGAGAGGTCTCGACAACATTGCGATTCTCACCGAGACAGTGTGGGATGAGGACCCATAGAAAAAACATCACTCATTGGCAACATTTTTAAGGAGACACCGATGGAAATTTTCATGATTCCCAACTCTATCACTCTTCTACCAACGAATTCCCACAGGAATTCAGAAAAATATATCATAGAATATTCGAAAACTATTGTAAAAGACGCCTCCAATTCCTAAAAGTGAATAAAACATTACTCAAACTACACTGAAATTTCATTTCCCCCCTCTAAACCCATTTTTTCAAATCATCACGAGTAACAAGAAACGAGATTCATTTTTTTATTAATTAATTGTTTATAATAACATTTTATTTATTCATTTTTTCTTTAATTATTCATCATTATTATACCACCTTTCACTCTCTCTCACATTCTCTCTCACCCTCGACCTCTTTTATATTTTCTCATTAATATTCATAATAATTTTCTTTCTTTATCGCAATTATCTAACCAGGAATTGATAATGAACGTTCTCACGCGCGATTTTCTTTCAATATATATTTTTTTTTCATAGAAAAAACAAAGCGTAGATTACTCAATTAGATATACGTCAGCGTGGCGATTTTGCATTCATTATTTTGTTGCATTATATATATAATAATTTATATATAATTTCATTTCTTGTTTTGGCATGCTTAAAATCGACGCGATATACATGTATTAAAAGATGTATATACGTAATGGTGTGGATTTATATTTATCATTTATGTATACATATCGATTGCGCTACGTATCTTCGTCACTTCATTTATTATCGTCGGTTCTTTAATTGGTTTATTTATATTATTTGTTGTTATTTTTTTTGTGTCATTTTAGACGAGTTTTTAGTGTCAATACGAGATTTATTATGACGGCTCTTGCATTATTGTTACTTGGACACTCTTAATTCATTTATAAAAGACATGTTTTGGTTTCACGCGTGAAAAAAATTAGTAGAAAAACCTAGTGCAGTCGCTGGGGAATTCTATTGCAAAATTTTCTCCTTTTTTTCAATAGAAATATTTAGTCGATAATATTAAAATCAATGTATCGAAGGATTTTTATTAAAGTCTGAAATTTAAGTCGAGGAATTCTTATAGAAAATATCTGAATAGAATAATTTTTAAAAACCAAGATTTTTATTGAGAAAAAAGCGGAATGACTGCGGAATTTTTCATTAGGATTAACGAAAAATGAATAGACTTCCCCTGGAAATCCAATGGAATTTCCTAGTTTTTCTGTTAATTTTCCTTTCGTACGTTTTGTTTTTTAAATAAATAGAGATTGAATTGGAACTCAGGTAAATGAATCGAACCCTAAATCAACAATTATCTGCTGTTCCACTCAAATCGATTGATTCCATAGCAACGAATTCCCAAAAATTATCACCTCCCATTGGAATTAATCATCTTCCCCTTAAAAATTCAGTTATGAGGTACGTAGTACGCGTAACAACAATAACATTAACAACAATTAATGACGACATTAACGAGCTTCACACCATCAGAATGCACCTCAATTTTTAGGAATGAAATTGAACTTTGGGATAATACGAGGACTCAAGAAGATATTGAATTGGAGCAGTTGAATTGGTAATTGGGTTGAGCCGAAATGTACAAGAGAAATGTGCCGAAGGATATTCTCAATTTCATTTTTCAAAAAGTTTTATCTATTTCCTAAGAGAGAGACACTGTCAAAGTGGACTGACGATGTTTACAGAGGTAATGAAATCACTGTGATTACACTCGCGACAGGTGCAAGCAAGCCAATTCATTGGTATCAACACTAAAAACTAAATATGATTCTTCGAATCGCTCTTCGTCGTCTGTATTTCTCCCGTTTGTGTGTCAGTGGTCGATATATCTTGAGTTTCATATACTTCTATCTCTCTTTATACATCACTTCAACTCTTCCAGACAAGTTATTTACTTGATATGTAACTGAAGCTGACTGTGCTAAATTAAAGAACTGAGTGTTGAATATGTGAAGTGGTGAATGCTTGCAGAGATCGGCAAATGAATGATATCCATTATTCGTTTTGTGTTTCTGTGATTACAAATTGAGTTGTGAAATCCATTTTTCATTAGCCAATAGGTGATCAATGAAGAAAATTCAATTCCGATTACTTTTGTAATCGATGAGGGAAAGATATTCATTATTCATTCAAATTATTTCCATTTCCTGACATTTGCCTTATATATTCGTGTGGCTTATATTTTCCAATTTATCGAATGGAGAATGAAATTATTTCAGATTTCATTAGTGATTGTCATTGTGATGAAAAATATCTAATTATAATTACCGATCGATTACCAAACTCGAAATTTTAACATAATCACTACTGATACTCCAATGAAATAACTGAAATGATCAATCACTCATTTACGATGTAATGAAAAACAGTTCCCTCTTATCGCTCATTAATAAAATAATAGGTATTTTCAGCAAACATGTTGTTAACAATAATATCATTGCCGATCTCTGAGTGCTTGAAGAAATTTCAAGAATTACGTTGCACTCAGTGTTTGAAAAAACTCAAAAAAGCGGTGGACTCATGTGACATAAATTATCTATAAACAAAACAGCTCAGTAAATAATTTTTCCGAGGATGATAGGTTTGAGTGAACCGTCCCAAGACGAAATGCCGATTGCCCTACACGAGAAAATCTTCCCCAGTTCCTCACAATCATAATTTCTCTCCACTACTCAATAATTCAAAACGTCACCAACAACACAGCGTTGATTTTACTCATTTTATTTCCCTCCATGTATCCATGTATCCTGAAATTTTACAGTAAATGAAACAGGGCGATAACTTCATCAAATGCAAGATAATGAATTGTCAAGAGCCGGTTACAGTCGAGATTTGCGATTGAATCAATCCACTACCTAAACTCTCCATTCCATTGTAAAAATCAAAACACTATCCTCTATCAATCGCATTAGAATTTCATAAAATTTCTTTCTAAACTTTAGTTAGACTCAAAAAATCGACAGAATGAGTTGGATTCGAGTAGAATATTAATATATTTTTCATCGCTCTCACTCATATCTGTACACGCTCAATCAATCATATACTCATTCATATAGGAATTAATCAATCAATGAATTATTCTGCCTTTTAAATGTCCTCACATATTTTCATTAAACAATTTTCTAATGCATAATTTTTTCATATTCATATACTCTGATTCTCTGGCGAAAGAAAAATAAAGGTCGGATTATACTTTGTACAAAATACGATTACAAGTAGCGTTGTAACAACAATTTGCAATAGTTAAATATAATATGTATATTATGTATATTTTGTTATTTATAATATGTATAATTTTTCTTTTCCATCTTTATTTATAACTTCATCATTCTTTTTATCTATTTATTTCATTAATAATGCATGTGACGCATGTGTAATCGAGCTTGAACGATCGTTTTCGTCGTTACGCATAGCCTTCCCACGATATTTCAACGTAAATTAGACATTCTCCCTAGATCAACAAAATGTAAAACTCCATCAACACTTCATCAACTCCCTCTATCAAATTCTATCGAAATACACGTCAACAAAAACGAAACGGATCGCAGCAGTCACAAACAAATGCGATGAATTCTAGATTTTTATTTCTGTCGAAAGGGGGATAACAAACGAAATGATTGACAGTAATGAAAAGGGATCTAGGCGACTCAACGCTCGCCACCACCTTAATTAATTCATCTATAATTTCTCTCCTATCCCCCGGTATTATTCTCGATAAAAGAAGGGGACAGACTCGATAAATAGGGAAAATAATGGTAGAGATCACCCGATAAATGATTGATTACAGTATTATCATTAGTAAGATATGATTATTGTTTGTGTGGGGGTGAGGCATCTCAAGGCACGCCCGCCTCCCGTTCATTCTTTTCTACTCAATATTTCATCATTTTGGTAATACTTTTTTTTGTTTATTACTTCATCTCCATTGATAATCGATAAAACACGACGAGGTGGCAGCTTCGGGCACCTCACAACATCAGAGTCCAAACCCTTGACTCTTGTGCGCGGTTAATTATTATTTTTTATTCATTCTCTATTATATTATCAATCATCGATTGTTAAGACATTATCAATCAGTCGAGAATCGAGGGAGCGCGGAAGAGCACGAGGTGAATAGTTTGAGAGAGTAAGGATTTCATTAAGTAATTGAAATAAATTATATACTTGAGCCAACCACGCACCAAGCAATTTCATGGAATAATCTAGGGAATTGAATAAAATATTCTATAGAATATATATAACATAATATAACACAATATAATATGATAGATTATATTTTATAGAAAGTTCATTAGAATTCCCCAGCGAGTTGGCCAGTTTTTTCCCTAAAATTTTTCCCTACGTGACTCTCCGCGTGCTGCCTTGTGGTCCCTCGACCTTGAGCATTTCCCTCAGCGTTCATCTAGCTTGATTAACCCTCAGATACGCGGGGCGAAAGAATAATCGAGTTGAAGTGTCCTCCAATCATCCCTCATTATAAAGTTTCGAGTGTTCAATAATAAATTCGTCATTCAAGTGGTTTAACGCAGTCACTTTTTTCCGTTAAGTGCCAAATTAGCTCGATGAATGTCGGACAAAATACTGAATTACATTGCACCACTTGAATCAAGCACTCTTGGTATTACAACGAAGTACATCAAACCCCCCAACATTTCAATTGATTACATCTTAATCCAGGCGGCAGCAAGAGCAACAGCAGCTTTAATCGATTACATATAACTTACATATCGTAGCCTCTCGATCATTCTCACTAACTGACGTTACATTGTCTTCATAACCGAGCAATTAAACTCATAAAGTAGAAAAATCACCTCAATAATTAGACCCAATCTACTTGAACATTATTCGAAATACTTATGGTCTGCAATGTTATTATTTTCGATGAAATGAATTTATTATTTGTCACGAGACTGTGGTAATTACCAGTCTTAAGACCATTAAAACAATGGCTGTAACATTGGCTCACTTGCCTAATCCAAATTTCATGAATATGAGCTCTTTACCTTTTGACAGTATATCACCACCAGCACTGGCACCAGCCATTTCAGTGAATTTTTGCATTAAATTTGGACCAGCTGTCGATTGCTGCTGTTGCTGCTGCTGCTGTTGCTGCTGTTGGCTCTGATCTGGCGGTTTTTGGGCGGTCGGAATGACCGCCGGTATTCCACGCAGTGGTTTACTAGTCTGGGCCATGGGTCCACCCTGGTTGGGACCGTACTGGCCCTGCTGTTGGGACTGTTGGGAGAAATTCTGCTGGTAACCCGGGGCCTGCTGCTGATAGCCCATATTCTGCTGGTAGCCCTGTTGATTCTGCTGCTGCTGCTGGTGCTGGGGATTTTGCTGGCTCATGCTCTGCTGGTAGTCCTGGGGATTCTGGAACTGCTGGGGACCACCCTGGAGGCCACCCGACATGTTAGTAACGCCCCGATTGCCCGCGCCTCTCCCCCTCCCCTGCAATTTTTCGGTCAATTTTTTAGGGCTTCTCCTGGGAGAAGTCGGCAGACTACGATTTATAACTCCTAAGTTCTCGGTATTGTTTATTCATTATTTGCAGTTGCTAGGTGGTTTACGGTAGGATGTCGGATCGACATCGTGTGTGAGTGTGTAAGTGACTCGGTGAACATTCAAGCGATCTTTGTGTTATTTTTTTGCTTTGATCTGTTCGCTGGGCGTTGCCATCGTGTTGGGGAGGCATTTGCTGGGGTTTTGAAGATTTGGAAACATATTATGCAAATACAAAAAGGGGTGAGTTTTGCCAAGCGGTGTGGAGTGCGGCATGCCGTGCAACTTCGTCTCTCTTTCGGGAGTGAATATTCATTTTTATTTTTATTTTCAGGGTTTTTTTGGGGAACTGGGGAGGGGGTTTCAGGGGGGAGGTTGAAGAGAGGTGGGGGAATCGAGGAGAATTTCTCGGTTTGACTGGAATGGTCACATTAGAAACAAATTTCTGAAGTTATAGTTGTTACTCGAATCGAGAGGCTAGACATGGGCGGAATATTCCGAAGATGGGGGAATCCCCATTCATATTCCTATTCCGCGCACATTCCAATGTTCTACGAATATGTGGAACTGCAAAAAGAGGGTATTCTTCTTGAGATATTAATCCGGAATATTCCGATGTCGATGAAAAATTCCGTTCGGTGAGTAAATTCAATGGAAACATTTGAGAGAATTTAATAGAGAAAGCGTTGGGCTTTTCCATCAAATTTTTCATAAAACCTGACATATTCAGAGACTTGGATTGCATTTTCCTGAAATGCAACCGAATACTCCCAGAGAAATTGAATATTCATAGTCAATACCCCAAGAAAACCGAAGTCTCTTCGCAATTCTATTTTCACAGATGAGATTCTAGGCTTTCTCTGAAGAAATAAGAACTGCATGGGGAAAATTTCATTCATCGAGTTGTACGATATTCAATCCCCACAAAACATTCAACGGATTTATGAAACCCCTGTAATTTCTAAACAACAATCCAATAGGGATATTCATCTCCCCGGACAATTCCCCACCGGGCACTCAAGCCGTAAATTTTTCAAAATGAGAAATTCCCCTCGCATTCGCCCATAATAACAATTTTTCAATCGTCGTTCGCTGTTTACAAGTTGGTCGGATTAATTAATAACCACAAGCCTCGTTGACATTCATAGCAGCGCGATGAAGAAGAGCACGAGGTAAGCGATTTATTGCGAAATGACAGAAAAGAATGGTCGGACAGTTGGATGGAATGATAATAAATATCAAGCATTCTCCCTCCGCTCCCACTAACCCATTAATTACAAGCTAAATAATTATCCTTAATTACAGGATGAAATAATTTCACGGACGAGAAACTTGAAGAGAAAGGAATTTTGCTGATTTAAACCTTCCTGTAGAATTTATTCTGTTCAAATTATTTTATAGAAATTCCAAAAATTTCAAAAAAGATTGAAAATGATAAAAAAATTATGAAATTTCAAATTTCGCTGAAAATTCAATGAAAGTCCAAAATGGTTAGATGCAACAACACAAGAATTCCCCAAATTGATGGAATTTTCAACCCAAACATGAATATTCAGTACACAATAACACTGAATTTTCCATTTCTCGATTTCAATAAATTTTTATAGAGTAAAATTTACAGTTTCATTGATTTTCTCATAAAATAAGGAGTTCTCAATGGTAAAATTTCCTGAAATTCTGTCGCTTGACAAAATTTTGTAAGAAATGTATTGAAAATTTTCGTGGGAAATTGCAAATGAGCGATAAATCCTGTCATTCCATTCAACAATCCCCAGAGATATCGAAAATAAATAGATTGAGCAGTGGGAAATGGGGTGGGTTTTCCAAGGTCTCAGTGGACATACTCACCTGCTGTTGAAGGTGGGGTGGTACACTACCCTGCTGATGGGCACTGTGAGGCCCCATAGCACCTGTACCCAGACCACCGTGCTGATTAGACGTTGTAACAGTGGTGTAGCTGTGGTGATTCGCTTGTTGGTAGGCTAGATGCGGTGGATTGTTTTGTTGTAGTTGGTTTTGTTGTTGTGGTTGTTGTTGTCTAGAGTCTAAGTGACAGACAGGGACAGACACAGGCACAATGCAGGCATCTAGCAACAGAGAAGAGAACAGAACCGTGTTGTCATTCATGGCTCATTTTTGTTTCTTTCATCTTTTCAATAATTCATTTCTACTTCACTCGTTTCACTCATCAATTAACTGCAAAAAAATCCTGACAAGTCCTTTCGAATAGTTCCCCATGGTCCATTCAAAATGACTTGTCTATCATTTTATTCTATTCTACTTTATTTCTCTAATTATCTCGACATCACATCACGTGTCGTTCGCAAGAGTCAAACGAGTAAATATTCTCATCCTCAAAGTAATCGTACGAGACTTGATACAATTATGGAGATTAGATTAGTTTATCAATTTCACAGAGACCAGATGAAGCCAAATCCTTTGATTTTTCAACTGATAAATCATGAAAATAGAAAGACGAAAAATATAATTTCGTCTCATGTCAATTAAAATTTAAAAACACTAATCATCAGTGAAATGGACAGGAAAATCTTTAAATGGCCAGCATGACAACACGACACGAACGACAATCATGTGACACGACGACCATCGACCAGTTCAGGCACACAGAGAGAAAGATATGATAAATATATCACGTAATCACAATTCAATGAAATCATCTTGATACATTGGTTTATCTGTTTTTATCATATAAAAATGCAGCAACACGATCGCAGATAATAGTGGATCCTCGAAAGAAAAATATAGATGAAAAAAAAAATTCAAATATATCGATATAATTTTTTGTACAGAGAATACAGTAGAGAGACAGATAATATGAATAGAGAGGTATATAACGAGTCAGAAAATGCTCGAAGATAGATAGACATAAAAAACATACATACATATCAATGTTTCAATGATATATATGCATTCATAATTAATGATTAGTAAAATACACTCAAAGCAGCGTGGAGTTTATTGCATTTTGTCGTGTGTTATCTTTTTTCAAGTGTTTGAATAACTTTTTTGCCTATGTTACATGTTTTTGTTCAGGTGTTAATTTTATTAATTATTCCTTGCTTGATTTATTTCTTGCCAAACATATAGGTGATTTAACAGTGAATCTGAAAACAGTGTAGCTACAATGCGACGATTGCACGTATGAAAATTTTTATAGAATAACGTTGCGAATTCGGTATAAAATTCCATTGGATTTCTATTGAAGTTTTTATTAGTTTTTGGCCGATTCTATTGAAAAATTCTGGCGTTCATCTGCCCATTTTTTTCAATAGCAATGGTCAATGGAACATATTCACATTTTTTTGTTTGCTTTCTTTTAAAGAGAAGAGAAAAATGTAGAGTGGAAAAAACTTGGAAATGCCTGTCGAGGAATTTCTATAGAAAATGTCTCAATAAAAAAAGCTCCATAGAAAGCTGAAATCATACCGAATTTCCTACTAAAAAAAACATCAAAAACTAATAGAAGTGCAATAGAAATCCAATAAAATTTTCTATAGAATTCGCTGGTTTCTCCTATGAAATTTTTTCGTGCGTGCCACGATGACCAAACAATTATAATAAATATTCATTGGTAGCAGAATTATTTCATCAATTGCTCCAGGAATTATCTTCCAGCCTGTCGTCTTGGCACATCGAGTCTCGTGTCTTGTGTCGCTCTGCTGTAGGATTTTTCATTAAATGGGGGTTTTATTTCTCGCTCGAACCATCGTGAATCATTCCATATTCTCATTTGATGGTTGATAAAAGGGGCAGACAAATTCGAATTGACACAGGCGATGGAAAAAAGTCTTAAATGTACTCCAGAGACATTAGCTTGGATGTCATCCGGGTGTTGGAATTAATCATGAATATCTCTTTACCTTTGCTACGTCGATGTCCAGGTGTTGGGGGTTCTCGGGGCGGTGGAGGAGGACCCCGTGCCCCAGGTCCCTGGCCTCCACCAGGAGGCTTCCATCCTGGTTTAGTTGGTTGGCCTTTACTTGGGCCAGCCTCTGTCACAAAATTACTTGGTACCAGTCCACGTACACCGTCCAATTCCCCCATGTAAAATCCATCGTCATCCATGTCACCGTAAATGTATATTTCGTTGCCCGTTTGAAAACGTAATTCCACTGCCTGGGAAATTGATTGAAATCGTTAATTAATTAAACGAATTTCATAATTCAATGTTTTAGTCGATTGAGTTATTGCATAATTTTTTGCTATTGAATTAAATCATCGAGGAGGTACAGACAATATTCATTATGACGTCTCAATGCAGACCTTTTTAATCACCTATGAATAATCTACTATTCATTATTTATCGAAATAAAAAAAGTCGTATCTATAATTTTTCACTCAGTTATGCTCACTGTTAAAAGAAATGCACTCTAAACCCCAATTATTCAATTATCTTTAGTGATTTGAGGAGAAAGTTACCTCTGCATCAACATTTGGCGAAACAACTTGTGGATCGTAGTCGTACAGAGCAATCATTTTCTTAACCGGCATATTCGTGTATATATCGCCCCACCGGTCCCCCTGGCCTCTCCTCCCCTGGCCCTGCACCTGTCCCTGAGACCCAGCCGGTGGATTCTTCACTTCCTCAACCATATTATGAGGCACGTAGCCCTGTCTGCCGCGACATTCCCCCCAATAGAATCCGTCATCGTCCTTTTCACCCCAGACCTTGAGTACAAATTCATAAGAGACATTCCGACATGTCATCATCAGTCATATATGGAACATTCTACAGGTGCAAAAGAATTTCATGGAAAAAATCAATAAATATTGTTTTTTTTGTGCAACTTATTCTAAGAAATTATTGAAGTTGCCACCTTTTCGCGAAAGAGTGTTTTTCACATTTGCTTTCCTAGCGTAAAAATAGAATCCTTAAAATTCATTCTCGACAAAGAAAATCTTTTTTACTCCACAAAACTCTGCAAAAATGAACTTCACTAAAATCCCTCATTACCTTGATAGTGTCGCCCTCAGAGAATGGTAATTCGATGTCACATGCATCTGGATTCGGCGACATCGTCGTTGGATCGTAATCGAAGAGAGCTATGAACCATCTCACCCTTTTGTTCATTTGTTGGGGGCCAGGATGATGTGGATTACCTGGCCCCTGATTTCTTGCGCCCCTGTAACCTGGTCCTCTACCCCGTTGAGCTCCTGCATTTTGATTAATTCAGTTTACTAATGAGTGGACGAATTTCTGAATGGGTTGGCAATGTTGAATTGGGATTGTTACCTTGGTGGTCAGGACCGTAATAAGGCTCTTGTCCCCTAACTCCAACCATTCCCCCCCTCCCCCTGTGTGTCCCAGGTGGTCCTTGAGGGCCGCCAGGCTGCGGCCCATATCTGTGATGGCCTGGATGATGCTGTTGAGTCATTCCCCTTCTCCTTGTTGGATCATCCTCTTCACTGTAATTTCCTTCACTAGCCGAGTCTTTCGTTATTTCTGGAATTCCTGGAGGAGGATGAACAGGTGGATTGTATGTTTTTGGTTCTTGAAGGGTAATATTTTGAAATCACGCATGGGAGACGTCAATAGATGTTGATATTTTTTCATAATTCTGTTGGGATTTTTTTTACAAGAATTCTTTTATAGGAATTTTCTAACGTTTTTTTCATTGAAATTTGTCTTAGTGATTTCTTTTAGGAAAATGCATACAACGTTCTAGGATCAGTGAGATCCGCATGCTGACGTAAATCAAATTTTTCTCCAATAACTTATAGCTTCACGTATGAAAATATTTAATAGGTGAACTAGCTCTTTTTCTGAGAAATTCCATATAATTTTACCCATTAAATGTGTTCAAACGTGAATGTGCCCCACAATTAATCATTTCAATCTCACCCATTTGCGATAAACTCTGCCCCGGATAAATCTCCTTATCAGAAAGGTTCTCATCAGTCTCAATAATAATTTGTCCATGGGCATCAACCCTAGGTGGTCCATGTCGTCTCATGTGCGATGGCATAGGTGCACTGGGATATCTCTGGCCAGTGCCCACCATCCTGTGATGATCCTGCATCATTCCCTGCTGCAACTGTCCCTGATCCATGTGGCCATGCACCATAGTACCACCCCGCAAAACATTGCACGGTATAGCTGTTGCACAACTGTCGCCAGACTGGCTCTCACGACTCTTAGTTCTCACAGTTATAGCTTTTGGATTTAAGCCCATTAATTTGTGAATGTCAACGAGTGCGTGATCACCAGTTGGACTGTCAACGTCTGTGACCTTCTTGCCGTCCGCGTAAACCGCGTAACCGGTGACGGCCGAACCGTTTAGGGCAACAGGCTGCCAGGTCACTAGCAAAGTGCCGTCCTGCGGTCCAGCCTCCACCTATATTCGGATATCAAGGATTTATCATTTTATTATTTATTTCGTTTTTCATTCGGTTTAAGGAGATCCGACAGAAATTTTTATTGGAAATGAATGATTCAATTAATTAACTAATTTTTTAATTCATGAATTTTACAATTATGCAGTGAAGTGGTATGACAGAATAAGTCAAGTTAATTTGAAGTTGATTAATTAATTCAATTAAATTTCTTTCGAATTTTAGCATTGCGTTTCAGTGTCTTTTATTTTGAACTAATGAAGTGACAAAAAGTAGTTTTTCTCTGAATTATTTTCTGTAAAAAGATATTCATTGAAAAACATACGGTAAAGCTGTATGATTTTTACTAAAATTGGTGCAAAGAATAACTAGAATTAATTATAAGACTCATTCCATTTCTTTTCACTGCCTAATTAAAAAAAATTGCATAGTGACGATAAAATCAGCGAGTGAATGATGAAAATAGAATCTCCTTAAAATTAGCATCTACCATCTACAATGAACCTTTGGACATTTATCCACTTTGCACTCGAGGAATTAACATTTGACAAAAGCATTACATTCTACTTAATCAATGAAATGATCAACTACTGAAAGTGATAAGGAATATTTCTTGACCTGGATATCAACGGGAGGATCCGGTAGACCCTTCTGCAAGGTCTTAAAATGTACGTGGCAGGCAAGATTATTGTTTAACTGAGTGCTTTGGTCCTCGAAGTGTGTTGCACGTAGATTCTTGGCTTTAACGGTGACACGATAAATCGTTGATGGTGCTAGGCCTGTTATTGTGTGACGATAAACGCCTGGTTTTACTGTTCTAACTTCGACATTGTTGACACACACAACGTGCTGATGATTGCTGTTGCTTGGAAGCCACGATATAACTGCACTTGTGGCAGTTACGTTTGATGCTTTGACTGCTGTTGGGCCTATTGCAACGTCTTTGCCGATTACCATTGTACAGGCTGCATCGCGAGATGTTCGTCTTGAGTGGGTCACTGAACGAACACTTATTCTGTGTGGCTGGAATTAATATATTCATCGGACGATGGAATTGTCAACGCGTAGGATCGTATGAAACGATTATGGATTATTACGATGAAAAAATTTAATTTAAAAAACGCTTTCTTCGAGAAATTCTATTGCAGCTTTGATGGAATTTTATTGAATAATTCTATTGGCTTTTTGTGTCAATCGTACTGAAGATTATGCAACTTAATGCGTCATTTTTTGAGAGAAAAAGATGTGATGGGAAAATGTCAATAGATGTTGATTTTTCTGTGGAAATTCTTGGGCGTGAATTTTACAAGTTTTTCTCGAAGATATGGAAGAGGCAACATCTATAGACTCTTTTGTATGAGCTGCGACAAAAAATTTGGAACTTCATAAAGTTTTTATTGAAATTTCATCATTATTTCTTCTCCAAATAGAATTCAATCTTGTTCTCCTGAAAATGACTACAAAACCGACCATGAAATTTCAATTTTTCATTTTATTCATCAATTTTCAAATACGAAAATTACTAACCCGAGTAGAATCAACCCCTTCCACCAACGCTCGTGTTCTCTCAGTAGCCTTAACCGTCACCTTCAACACCCCATCAACGTAGACATGATAAGACTCAAGCTGATGTGAATTCTCAGGTGCTGTCCAGTTGATGAGAACACTCTTGTTGAGTTGACGCTCGAGGGTGAGATGCTGAGGCGCCGGTACTAGGTCCGAAAACAGGTAGACTTCTTCAGGAGGAAAAAGACAAGACAAAGCCTAGCTGTAGCTAGATAACTTTATCTAATCTACCCACTAAAGCGAGCGCCTACGAGCCATCGAACAACTCAACACACGAGTGAATAATTACGAAGTCAACAATTTATTGCTCTTCGAGGATCTGCAGTGGATCCATTCGTCTGCTGTGAAGGAAATGTGAGAGCAAAACGAAAGAACAAAGCAACAACGAGGATAACATGCCCTTGTGCTGGTTCATGATGTGCTGGAGACCCTCGGAGCGAGGGATTCATTGGAAATCATCTTAAATCTCCAACAATCATCTCTTCTATCATTTTTAAGACCATTAATTACTCTGAAAACGTGCAATTCACTGTTAAACGTCGAACACAAACCACAGAATTTCAACAACTATTTCGTGCCATCTGTACTAATGGTAGTGAAGAAAATGATGGACAATTTTTTCCAGAATTCATTAACAAAATCGTCCAAAGGGGCTCATCCAAATGGTTTATGTCCGACAACATATTTCCCAAGTACTCTTTTTTCAAAATTAATTTTAGTCATCCATTTCTGCTGATGCAACTTCGAGTTAGACCAACCTGGTGGTTCCTGCTCGTCCTCATCAGCGATGTTGTCCAACTCTGCATAGGCTGACAACTCGGCGTGGCGATTTCTATTGCCCTCCTCAAGTGCAGCTAGTTCCAGATCGATATCTTGGAGGTAGCACTGGAAATTGATTGAGTGTTAATAGAATTTCGAACGGAAGTTGGGAGTAAAGTGCTAATTTTGAAATTATCTCGGGAGGGACTTATTGGAGAATTAATTTTGATGTTTTTGCTTTTTTCTCAGTTATTTTCATTAATAACTGGTTCTCACTAAGTGAATTTATCGTTGAAGGAGACGTAAAAGTGAGATGTGCAATTGCATTTTTAGGTTCATCGTTGGGGAAGAGAAAAATTTTTCGAAGTATTGAAGAAAGTGAATAATTAAATGAATGAATATAGAATTTCTATAGAAATAGCTAATGTATGAAGTAGTTTCTATTGGACATTTTCGAAGTCAAATAGAAATTTCTATGGAATTTTCGTGTGATTTCGTGAGAATTCAAATGTGTACTCAAGTCTCACTTGTGGAATATTCGTTGAGGCAGCATCATCCACGTCCCTCAGTCCCAGTACAGCCTGATGAAACTCAAGAAGATCATCACCAACGAGTTTCTGCACGAAATTAGCTGGAACGAGTCCCCTGCGGCCGTCAAGTGTCTCAGCATCTAGGATGCCATCCTCATCGGGCTGTCCCCACACCAATAAATAATCTCCGCCCTGCACCGGCAACTCAGCCTCTGGATTTTCATTCGGTGAGTGTTGAAAGGGCTCGTAACTGAACCTCGCGATATACACATAGCATCTCCCCTTGCCAGGAATATCCAGCATATCCACTTGGCCCTCTGGCAAGATTGTTTCATTAGTGAGACGATCCAGGGGATTTGTGAGGATGCCAGTGGGTACTTTTGGCATTTGTCTGGGACCGAGAAAGTGGTGGCCTGGGGTTGGTGTTGCTGTTGGTGAACTCGCGCGGAGACTCTGTTGAATCTGCTGGATTATTGCCTGTTGATGGAGTTGATTCGCTTGTGACTGGGCTGATAGCTGTTGCATTGCGTGGAGGGGGTCACCCATCGCTTGGAGCAGACCGCTTGATGATGAACCTGATGGATCGTTAATTGAAGAGGAAAGTAAGGAAAAATCAATCAGGAATGTTCAGTCAAAAATTCTACAGAAGTTTTTGTTTTTCATATTAATAATTAATTATTTTCTCTGATATTTTCTATTAATGAAGATTATAATTAATTTCACCTGAACTGACGCCAGACGTGCCAAAAGCATTGGTCCCCACTGTTGAATACGTCGATGGAGTGGTTGAAAATGTGCTTTGTACACTCGAATAGGGAAGCACAGTTTGGGGTGCACTGGTTAGCACACCGAGTGCCGTATGGTATGATGATGATGAATATGATGGCAATGAGGCTAGAGTCGTTTGCGGGAGATTCGTCTGAGTCGCCGTGTAGTTGTGATGACCCAGTTGATGAGCTGTAGCATAACTGCTCACTCCTGATGTGAATGTACCGTTTGGATGGGATGTCAGGGATAAATTTGGATAATTCGTACTCTGAAAAGGGAATGAATACTATAAATAAGTAATGAAACGTGTCAATTTAATCTTTTATATGTTTTCAAACATTAAATTATTTCGATGGCAAAAGATTTTTTAAGAATTTGGATGATTCGTTCTCTCCAAAAGAATGAAAATTATAAATAAGTCCTAAAACGCGACAGTTTGACCTGTTTTGCATTAAAAAGCGTAAAATAATCTCGACAACGAATGATTTTCCAAAAGCAAGTTAAAAATTTCGTCGATGATACAGTTCTATGGAGTATTCACCTGACTACCATTGAGTTGATAATTCTGTCCAGTCTGGCCCGTTTGACTGTAATGCGGAATGACAGTTTGACTACCTGAACCAAGGTACGAGCTAGATGAAGGCAATTGTTGCCCCTGCTGAGGCTGCGTTGAAGCCTGCAGAGGTTGTTGATACGTTTGCGTATGTGGATAACTCTCCTGGTACTGATTGCCAGTGAAATGGCTGTGCGTTTGTTTCGGTTGAGACTGGCTCTGTTGCGAGGGTAATGTACCCTGCGAGTGAGAGCTTGGCAGATCAACGTGAGGCTGATGACCGTGGGAGTGTTGATACTGCTGGAGTTTTTGCTGAAAAGCTGGCTGAGATTGGCTCGTTGATAATGATGGAGCTGGGGGGATTGGCTCGTTGTAGTGATATGGTGGGCCATTTGGTGTTAATGGTGGACATCCCGGCATCAGGGGGGTCTGGGGCATTGGTGAGCCTACGTACTGGTGGGATCATCAACGATTCAGATTGGTCAGACAACGGGGAAATCGGAATGGATGATGCTGAGGAGGTTTTCATGCTTACGTAACCGGTTTGAGATGACATTCCTAGGTTCAAGGCGTGCGGATGTGGCGGATGCTGATGACTCAAATTCGAGAGGTTCTCTGCACTTGACCTGAGGATTCCCGTCGCCGATGGCTGCTGAGTCGTCACTGTACCTCTCGCATGGTCCAGCTCATGCAGAATCCTACCACTGATAATTTCAAGCAGATATTCGGAACATCGTTCTCAATATTTTAGTCGGAAATACATGTGTTTCATCGATTGAGAGTTTCAATTATTTAATTAGAGCATCCATAAGTAATTATATTTGAAATTCCCGGGTCGTTAATTAAACGATAATTATAATATCATCTCATTAACCATTGAGATGATGATGAAAAATGAATTCCAGTACATTATCAATTACAAAAGTAATCACAAATAATTTTTTTGCGTTGATCATTGTTAGGATAGTAGAAGAATGAATAATAAATATTATTCGTTAGCCGATCTCTGATCTCAAATTGGAGGTCAATTTCCGAAAGAATAGTGAAATGATGAACTAATTCACCTGCTGTCCTGCTCAATCTTCGCTATAATCCTGTCGATCTCTGATCCTGCTGGTGGCCAGGTAGTTCCAGTGACACTCGAGGTGTGTGGAGTACTACCTGGCCCACGACTCCTAGCTCTCTTCAGACTCGTCAACTCCAGGGACAATTCCTCGTGTCTCACCATCTGCAGCTCCGTTTTCTTCTCCAATTCTCGTATTTTAGATTGAAGTGCCTCCACCGATTCTGGCCCCTGGTATCTCCCTGCTATCTTATCCCGTAGCTGGTTCTGTGCCTCGGCGTGCTGACGCTCCAGGTCTGCTCGGCGAGCCTCCGTCTCGCGCATTTGCTGGTGGTGAGGAGTAAAGAAGAGATTTATTGAATGTCTGAATAAAAAAATCTTTATGTAATTGAAATGTTGATAAAATTTTTAAATGTCAACAGGTTTATTCTGTTTTTTACTAGAATTTTCTTTCAAGTAAAGTACAGGAAAATGAATGTGTTTTCTGCAAAATCCGCAAATCTTCAAAATTAATTAATTTAAAATGTTAATTCGTTTTTTCCGGAGGTTTTTCATATTTTTAAATTAATCCACTCGTTTCGGAGAAGAACGCGAACGAAATTATTCGTCGCAGCCAATATTTTCCCGCGAGAAAACCTGACAGTGCAGCTTTTTAATAAATCCGACATTTTGCTTCTGGGGTTTTTTTTTCAGTGATGGAAATTGTCTGCGTGGCATTAATAAGTGAAATTGGGTGGTGGGACAGAATCATTATGAGGGAAATATGCCTCTAGCGCAGAGTGGACGTTTTTCCATTTGTTTTTATGACTTTTTTTAGATTCCATGATTGTTTTTCCTAGTTCTAGATTAATTACGACACTTCGGTGATTGCTTTTCGAGGAAACAATTCAATAGAAAAAATCAATAGTTTTTCAACTTTTTATGGTACTAGTTTTATTAAAACAGAATTGGAAAAATTAGGACGAATTTCTAGTGAAAGCATTCTGTTGCAAATTTCTTTTGGGAAATTACAAAAATAATGAACCGAAATTAAACAGAAACATTATGCCGAGGGATTTCTATAGAAACTATTCTATTGATTTTCTTTCCATACATAATTTTTTTATCATAAATTTTTCCTGAGAAAATAAAAAAATTATTTTATAATTAATTTAATTAAGCCGAATAGGGAAACTCAAATAGAATCAGCGAAAAATTAATAGAATTTTATTGTCTATAAAATTTTCTGGAATTGGAAAAAAAAATTGAAAAATTCTATTAATTTTCCCACATTTTCTTTGAACATTTCTTCTGTTAAAGAACTACAAATTAATTTGATTGGAAAATTTTTCTCGCGAATATTTCTCTTCGGAATTATTTCGTACGTGTGAGCCCTGGGAATTGAATATTCACCTCCAGGATGGATTCCAACACTGTGTCCTGCATGATGGCGGTTCTCCCGGAGGTTGCGCCAACGACAGTCCCTGTACCCAGGTGATGAGTGGCCTGAGGTGCCGTGGACCCGCCACCTCCAACGCCACAGCACTGAAACACAAACTCTCCATGTCCGAAACGTCCAATTGCCACTGAATTAAAAAAAAATCCACAAAATACGCAGAAACATACGGAGCAACAGCTATTGATTAACATGCTACAATTTGATAGATGAAAAACAATTTCTACGAAGTGGATTTTCATCTTGATGAAAAAAGTTAATCGATATTTGATGACACACATCCGCCTGAGAGATGGAGAGAGAAATATTGAGGAAATATGTTGAGCCTACGACTACACTATCGCCTGGTGTACAGATTTTTCTCAGCGGTTTCTACATTCAGCGGTTGTTATTCATTTCTCTTCATTTCGATGTACTTTATCACTACGGATGAAACTAGGTTGGTGACCACTACTGGTCTTCTAGGTAATTAACCGAGAGGCATGGAGATTATTTAGTTCATGTGATATTATCTTAAATTGTTTTTTGGGGTGGAGGCGTGGAGCGAGATGAGGGAATTTCCCCTGTAATTTAGCTTCTTAGTTTCAGATTTTTTTAGATTAGATTTTAACGAGGAGAAGGTGGAGGCTTTAGAGAATTGTGAAGACCAAAATCCAAATTATTTTTTTAAGGGAGAATAACTAATTAACATGGCCTCATTCTGGAAAAAAAAGAAGTCTTCACGAAAATTTTTCTCTTTCCTTGAACTCCAAGAGACTCATCAAAATCTGTGGATACAATTTACCTGTTCTGCTTTAAGGTCAATTATATTTTACAATAATTTTTTAATAAATACCTCAGAATTAAATTAAGATAGAGAAATTATTAGAACAACTTTCCGAAAAATTTCGAGTAAAATTGACTTGTTTTTTTTTTAGACCAATTCAACCTTATGTTGAGTTCTTAATTAATGGCGAAATCGAAGCGAGATAACAGAATTTTGATTCATCTCCACAAAAACTCCCCCGTCTCTTTCGGATTTTTGTATGTTACGCTAAAATTGAAAACTTCTAAAATGAAATTTACTCATGCCGTTTCATCCCTCCACCAACAATTCTTTCTCTCGGTTTTAGATGATCTTGGGGGGCTGACCTTGTATACCTTGTAGGTATATGAAGTGCCGAACGACATATCGAACGGCTTGTCACCCCTCGGCCCGTGATGAGCGTTGTTCGCGGATTTTTAATATCAGACTGGGCTGAAAATAAATAATCAGAGAGGAAAAACTGGTTCGAGAGTCGCTGGTTTTCCCTAAGCAGTGGCGATGTTTCTGAATGGTTCATCAAAAGTTGATATGGAAAAATAAACCTTCATATTTTTTTCAATTTCAATTGGAGATGTCGAAACGAAAAAATGATAATTCACTTGACATTTTTCGTTCATCATCTCTTCAATTGTTAATATCTCCTGACCAAATGATGAAATTTAGTTGTTTCATATCTCATTCTAAAGCTCAAAAAACATCTTGAAAATGTAAAAAAAAAGGGAAATTCCAGTCAGACGTTATCGAGTTATCGACGATTGAAACTGCTCCATTTCGCGCGCTCTGCCCTCCCTAATTTCGATCTTACGAGGAAATGTCAAGAGATATTTTCCGCAGCTAATGAACTTTCCGACTAAATGTCTCCAAAACGTGTTCCCACATTTTTCGATCGTCCTATTACGCTTCACGAACGAATTCAAACGTACCGAGAGAAATATGAAATACGGGAAATGCGAGTAGATGTAGTGAAGAATGAAAGGGAAACAGAGTGTCGTGTCTGATTAACGCGGAGCTGTTACCACTGGGCCGCGCTCATCGAGTTCTCGTACTACTGAAACCATCCATCTCTGTAATTACAGTCACATGCATGACTGAGAATAAAGAAATAGAGGAGGACGGAGAGTACGGAATACTATGATGCACAATCGTCTTGTTTGTTCTCGTTTATTGTCATTCAGGGAAATAATTGCGGACTTGATTCATTTTATGTTATTGTGGGATTGTGGATTTATCAATGAGTAATTACATTTTTTTTTAGAGAATTACCCCTGAATTTTTGTTTCAAGAGTTTTAAGTAAAATTATTTTGAAAAATCGAATAAGTTTTGTAGAAATTTTGAAAAATAGAAAAACAAAATAATAATAATAATAATAATAAATAAGAATAGTTCATTTTGCTCCAGTTTTAATTCAGATAATTGAGGTAATTGTCTTCCCAAGGATTTTTACCGAAATCCTATGAAAAAATGGAATACATTTAATGGAAATTTCATACAAACATTGGAGTTTTCTACTAGAATTCTGATAATAAATCTCCAAAGATCAGTAAACGATTACTAAAATTCAGAGGTAAAAAACAAAAAATAATATAATAACTTATTTTATTTAGGATAAAAGAAAAGGGATTTTACTCCGGTTTATACGTAAATAAATTTCAAAAATCGTCGAAATTAACCTCTGAATATTCTATCCAACATTTTTTGGTAAAATTTTCATAAACAACGCAATAAATCCACTGGAAATTTCCGAAAAATATTGTAATCTTCAACCGCGACTCCGACAATAAATCCTGAAAGATCACTACCCGATTACAATTCCTCTCTCATTTCATTCCAAAAAACCACGTAACAATTCCCCCCATTGTCCTTGAATCACCCGCAAACATTCAACAAATTTCCACTTTGATCTTGAAAACAATTTTTCATACTTTTTAGGTTTCAATTCTCATCGTTTACCGTTGGTTTAAGAAAGGCTTCAACTGACGGATGTAAAGAAGACATTAGACAATTCAAAAGGATTGAAGTGGATTTTTTTCCACCACCAACTCTGTCCATCAAAAACCCCAGATCCAACGTTCTCCCATCCCCCGAATAATCTCTCCATTCACGTTACAATTTTTCAGGGCAAACGAGGGCGGGGGGGAGAGCAGAGAGATTTGACACACTTGGATTCCCGGAGGCCCTGAAGGGAATAATCGACTCGCCGTGATGGAGCGGCCCTTCAAGATTCCCTAAAAAATCAACTACCCGAGGAATGCAAAAACGATTGAGTTGAGGAAAAATAACTTGAAGATTCCCCTGACGAGGGAAAAGCCCCAGTTCTTGGTCGACCGGTGAAAATTAACCCAAAGCATTTGCACTAGAGTCTGAGACCAGTATCTATTTTAAGTTCAACTCCGGGAGAAGACTGAGGTCAAGACAAGCAAAAGGTAAATGCAAAAAGCCCTTGATTTAGTTCTCGAAAATATCCGCAATAAAATTTCATACAAATTTCGGGGATGAATGCAGTTGTTCTCCGGCATAAAGACACCCGAATAAATTATCAATTTGCCAAAGTACTGTCACTGAAGGGATGTTGAGGGTGAGAGGGATGAGACGATTAATCGGGTGAAGGCGAAACGAATTCTAGGTTGTCGGATCGTGGTGGCTCGTTCAATCGTCACGGCACTGCTTATTGATCCTCTACCACCAAAGATACGTTGAGTATACATATACGAACGTCTAGCCGGGCGTCACATACCACTTTGCGTGCCACCACCGGCCACAGCAAGTCGCCCAATGATAATTCTTCCCCCCGAGAAAAGGCCCGAATTAATTTGCGAATTAATTCACCCCCAAAAATTCAAAGCGCCGATAAATACCGAGGGGGGAACGGACAGTGGAGATCTCTCCGGCGGCCATGTCCCTTGACTTTCATCCCCATCTCAGCCCCAACAACTCCAAAATCCCCTCCCGATAAATTTCAAAAGCCCGCAGAATGCACTTTCCCCTTTCCCTCATTTCTTCGGGACAATTTCATTAGAACTAATTCGCCGGTACTTGAATGGAAATATAATTCTGAAAAATGGATGACACTCACGATGACAGAGTCGAAGGGATTGTGGCAGGCCAGGGCTGCTGCGTTGATGTCAAATTATAATCCGCTACAATGGTTGCTAAAAAAAATTGAAATCTCCTCCTTCGTATTTCCAGTACGAACAGGCCAAGTGGCACGAGCGAATGTCAAAATTAAGGAGATACCCTTCACCACGGAGTGCCCAGTAAAATAATCCACCAACACTTCACTGTTCTCGGGTATCCCTGGACACCTCTCACAGTAATTTCGCGCTCATGTTCGCGGATTTTCTCGCCTCGCTGTCGTTTTTTTTTCTCCCTTTTCCCGAGTCTCGCAGGGCACGGGCCGCGGAAAAAAAGGCAGGGCTGATGGAAACTCGTCGGGTGGCCTCTCTCACGGGTTTGTGTGACGTTCCGGAGCGCACGGTGTGTGTAGGAAACGCACCAGAGAGAGAGCTGACGGAGTTTCGTCGGCGGCGGGGGCGGGGGCAGCCGTCGGAGGAGGATGGAAAAACGAGTTGGACACGGGAGGAAAGGAAAAACGGTCCACGGACGACGGTAGATGGGAGAGTAACGCCGCGACACCTATGATTCAACCCTCTGAGCCCACCACCCAGTCGGCGCGTTTCCCTCCCTCACGCGCTGTGGGGATCCGTGAGGGGGTGCGCGTGCACTCGCGGTTTGCCTGCGCGGGGGAGGGGCGCGTCTCGGGAGGTGGTGGCAAACCGTGGAGGCCTCGTTCTAGCGGCCGCCGCCGGATATGGGTCACTCGTGGATCGATCAGTGGGAGCGCTCCCGGCACACACTGAGAAAACTACTTCTTTCATGAAAGACCAATCAATAGCAGGGCCTGTGGCAATCTCCGATAATTCGGAATTCTAGAGGGGGAGGGGGATTTTTTGGGGGAGGGGTTT